CCCAGGCAAATTTTGCGCACAATCACCTCAAGTTCGTTGGTAGTGCCAAGGCCCCTTGTGTTGAAGGGTCCATCCCGTTGCCGTCCAAGCCCATGCGGAATACCACGCAGCAGCTAAGCAAGCTGACAGCGATTGTCGAGACCGAGATGCTTCCCGCCCACGATGGATCTACGGCTTGCCGCTATCAGGAATTTTCTGAAATCGAAAGGAGCGGACGTAAGCGCTACATCGGTGTCCAGAATGAAGCAGAAAATTGACGACAAAATTCACGGCGACTTGGTAGAAAGTTACCAAAAACTGCGGGCGTACTTCGAGTTGATGGCGCACAAGAACCCCGGATCGGTTTGGAGAGTGAAAACTGCCGCGGACGGATCGTCGTTTGGTCGAGCGTGCTTCATCCCTAACGCTGGTATTTACATTGCCCAGAACTGCAAAAAAATGGTCGGCTTTGACGGGGCCCACCTTAAAGGGGAAATGCACGAACAGGGCATTTATCTGGTAGCTACCGTGAAAGACTACGACAAGCACATCGTTCCAGTTGGACTCGCGCTGGTTTCACAAGAGGACAAAGCCAATTGGATTTAGTTCCTGGGAGCATTCAAGGAGGCAGTTGACTGGGAAAAGTTCACGATATTGTCGGATAGACAAAAAGGTCTGCTTCCAGCTGTCGCGACAATTTTCCCAAACGCTGGCCATCGATACTGCCCGCGGCATATCATGGACAACATTAACAGGAAATGTTCCAGGTTGTCCCAGGAAGACCGTGCGTGGGTATGCCGAATGGCACGCAGCGACTGTGAAAATGACTATAAGCTGTATCGAAGTGAACTCGCCGTGAACAACCCTGCCGCTGCGAATTTTCTGGACGGAATCGAACGTGCTCACTGGGTGAAGTACAGTTTCCAAGAAAAATTTAATCTCCCGACTTTCGACGAAATAACCTCAAATTTGTCAGAGCAAGCGAACAAATGGATGGGTAAAGAGCTTCGGACCGCCAAACCCTTGGACGGATTCCACTTGTACTTCTTGAAGCTGAGTCAACTGATGTCCAAAAGGCGACAATTGATTGTAACGTGGACAAAATCTGGCGCACTCTCGGATTTAGTCCCCAAGTTGTTAGAGCGACGTACAGACCGTCAAGCTGCAGCTGATATGTGCGAGTTTACACACCTTCTCGAGGGTGCGTACAGCGTCTTGTTCAAGGGCCCTGTTGCCATACCGGGATATGTGCACCCAGACCGGGTAGTGGATTTGCCAGCGCTGGAGTGCACGTGCGGCAATTGGCAAGACCAAATGTTCCCTTGTGTCCACGCAATTTGCGCTGCTTCAAAGGATGGCCGACGAATCGAAGACTTGTATGACGCCAAGCGTATGTCGATCGAGCACTTCCGCGATACGTACACATTCAAATTTCTCCCTTGGCCGACAACAGCAACCTTACAGCGGGACGACACAATTCTTCCTCCACAACTTGAACCCACTCCTGAACGGATTGGTAAAAGAGGGTTGAAGCGGGGAAGAGGCCACAACACAAGCGAAAGATTGTGAAAAACGCGCTGTAGGGACAAGAATAAGCTTCGTCGGGTAAAGCCAATTTATACTTTATCGATCTGTATTTTTGACAAACAACACTTCATAATTAATAGATATTGTGCTTTCCGACAATTCTAACCAAATATGCAAGTGTTGCTGAGTCATATTTGGGTAAGGTATATTAAAAATCTAAACCGATAGATCTCTAGTGTTGTGCCCTAAGAACACGCGAGTAAAATATTTCATGAAAATCTCTTAAACTCTAGAAGGAGTAGGAACTCTACGAATGTACCACTCCATGGTACACCCTTTTTGTATAATTTAAGCCGCAATGGTGCAATATGCTACGTTGATCTGCAATCTGAATTTTGCAATTTAACTACGTTAAATTTAGCCAAATCACAACCTGACCTCCGGGCTGAAGTCTACTGTATTTATTTTAAGGCAACACTTAGAATAGAAATAGACTGCGAACTACATTTTCAGCGCTTCGTCAAGCCCCATTCTGCTTTGTGCTCAATGCCACGCCTTAACCCACGACAGCGCCACGCCCGGAACATCCAGCGCCACCTGGACGGCTCGTTTTACCGTCTCCGACTGAATCCCGGTATTTCCGCTCATGACGTCAGCGACGAAGACACCGACGAGCAGGAAGAGGAAGGATCATCAGTCAGGGGTGGACTCCGAGAAGAACGACGTAGAGGTGGTGGCCTCTTCGCAAGCAATCGAAGGGCCCAGAGAGGCGTGGATGGGCAGCTATATGAGGTAGAGCGAATATACGCGAAAAGGTGGATCAACGTAAGAGTATATTATCTCATTCAATGGGTTGGGTACCGGGAGCTTACATGGGAACCGGGAAGCCACGTTCCGATGCGCCTGAAGCTACGGTTCGAACGCGAATCGATCGACTTCATCTGGGTCTACCAATCGACAAGAGGGAGACGTCGGACTCGCCATCGACGACCGACACGACGCAGCGCAAGGATCCAGTCTCGCAGCAGTAGGTAGATACGTTTTGATAAATACGCATCACGAACTTAGCAAATACTGTGACAGTAGTTTGTTTTTCAGTCGGCCTGGGGCGATCCAGTACTTTTCTACTGGATCATGGTAATTCCTCTTTCTTTCACTGAGATAGCGAACGGGGATGCTTTTTCTCTTGTGTGGACCCCATAAATGTTTTACATTGTAATGTACTGAGTTCAGTTCACTAAATCGCTGACGTGCGAAGACTATGGTGACTTTCGCTGACAAGTTTGCAAGAAAAGGATGTGGATTGCGTGGAGCGGGTTGGGCGATGCTATACTAATGCCTACTATAAAGAGGTCGAACAGGTGCCCAAGGAATGTCGGTACAGGCCTCCCTCTCCGCCAAACACTCGGTCGTCTATGATGGCACTTGAACTTTGTCATTCAGGAAGACCTCGCTCTTGATGGCCACGATGGACGAGAGCTGTCTGCGGTCGGCCTCTTTCCATAAGGTATAGTTCTGCTTTGCTATGTTGTGGATGGCGCCGAACTCCGGCGTGAATATAACTTGTGCGACCGTATCGTAGAAGGGAAGTACGATGAACTCGAAGAAACCAACTTGGTTCTGCGTGTACACAGAGAGAAGGAAATATTAGAGAAAATATATAACCCAAGACGCAAGATGAAGGGCAGACAAACCTTTGCGCTATTCTCCGAGTGTCGGTCCATGAAAGGTGAAATGTCAGAATTGTTGGCGCGCTCGTTGTCGCCCTGCAGGAAGAACTCCTCGATGATGAGCGCTGACCAGATCACGTGCAGCTTCCTCTTTTTGGCAGCGTGACCGATATCAGCGCACTTGATGACGACCTTCATGATCATCATCGGGTCTGTTACGGGCTTCGGCGCTGGTACAGCTCCTCCAGCTCCCAACCCCGCGCCATTATTGCTGCTCCCAGTCGCAGGGATGGCAGTCGCCTCCTGGAGCAGCAAAGCCTTGAGGTTCCCTACCAGCTGCAGGTGCATGGATAAATCCGTACTGAGGACCATCTCGATAATAGCCTTCCTGATCTCTCGATATGGCTTGTCCTTCATGCGCCCGAAGATATCGCACAGCGGGTTGCGCATGATGAAAAAGGTTTCAGCCAGATGCATGCTCTCCAGGATGCTGCGGTCGTTGTATTGGAGAGCCAAGTCGTGCTTGGCCTTGATGAGATAATTGTTGGACTTGCCCGGATGGCGGAAATCGTGAATAGCGGCAGCCACAAGCGCCGCGTAGAACTCGAGATTTGTGAGCGTGTCTCGAATCTGACCGTCGGCGAGTGTTGTGATGAGGAAGTTCACCGAGTTCACGACGTCGGCAGCGTGGCTGCTGTTATGGTACGGGTTGGCCAAGTACCCATCGTCCAGCACGTACAGGAAATTCCGCAGCACTACGCGGTCAACACGGAACTCTTCATGAAGCTCATGCAGCTCGAACATGGCTGCAGTCACGTACATGAGTGGCCGGTTGCCAGTATGCTCTGCAATTTGCAAGGTATCCAAGTCCCAGCCATCTTGCTGAATGCGCTGCTTTACGCGAGAGAGCGTCTGATCTTCCCAAGTGGGCATGTCTGGCAACGGAGCAATAACCACAGAACCAGCAATCCCTCCAGCTCCGATTCCTAAGCCGTCCTTGTAACTCCTCCGGTTGTCGCTGTTTGAGTCGGAATGTGAACTGTGCGACATCGCCACACCGGAGCGAGTTGTATCGCCGTACTCCTTGCGAGCCAGCACCGAGAGCGCCCAATTCTTGGTATCGTTATCGACCTCCTTCTCGGACTTCATCTGCGCGCTAATATCGGGAACGAACAGGTTCTGGTCCAGCCGCGCGAGGTTGCGGACAATAGCCATGCCGCGTTGAGTATCCTCATCACTCAGGTCCACCGCATCGAGGAAGGATTTGAGCTCGGCCAGCAGAGCGTGCAGCGGAGAGGTCAAGTCCAAGTTGAAGTCGCTATCACGCTGCGCGAGCTCCTGTTTGAGCGTGCGGTTCTCTTCTGCGATCAAATTCTTCTCGCGCGTCGCCTTCTCCGCCTCCAGTTCCACGGCCCAAACGTGAAGAAAGTCCTGGCGCACCACGCGATCGACGTCTCGGTTTCGGAGCAGCATCGCAATAGTAAACACCATGGGGAAGCAGATAACCAGCACGCGGTTGAGGATAAACGGCGACGAATCCGTGACCGGGTAGAAGATGAACGTGAGCACCATGTAGCTCACACTGGTAATAAGCCCAACCAGCGCGAAGTGCAGCGTGTCGATACGCAGGAGCGGCACGAAGACGAAAATCATGATGAGTCGGAGCAGATTGATGTTCATCGTGGCTGCAGGGAGCAGAATCTCCTTCGTGTAGGCCTGCAGCACCTCCGCTCGCGTGCCCGATATTGCCTTGAACAGCCAGTCGCTGCGGGACGTGCTGTTCACGTAGAAAATGCGCGCGTCGTCCGTGTTGGAGATCTCGAGCTCGTCCAGGATGATATCCACGTCCTTGGAGACGTAGTTGTACCATTCCGTGAGCATGGAGAACATTCCTCCTGCGATGATCGAGAAGCTCCAGCATAACAATACAAGCGTGTAGATCCGCTGGAATTGGATCTCGTAGGCGCGTCGCCGACTCACATACACTAGCACCGGGATGGGTAGGATGGGGCTGAACACAAGCGCGAAATACCGCAAGCTTCGCGAGCGCACGCTGGCGTCTTTCGAGAGCAGATTGGTGAGGTTGGAGCCCGTGAACAAGAGGTACATGAGGAAGAAAATCAACGCGATTCGGGACGACCGGGCCGAGTTCTCGCGCGCAAAGGTTACCTGGTAGAGCTTCTCTAGTCGCGGCTCGTTCACGAATGTGCTGGTCACGGGGTGGAACTTGACTTCCACGGGGGTTTTCTTGGTCTGGGCCACGTACACCGAGTCCGTGAGGGGGTAGATCCTCGACACGCGCTGGTTGGCTCGGTCCTGGTTTAGAACTGTGTGGATGGCGTCCGATCCGTGGTGGCCGCCGTGGTTGTACGTCGCAGCGCCGCTGCCCCCGAACATTGTGGTTCGGATTGGCGCACCCCCGCCGCCGCCGCCAGGGGCGGCATCCTGTTTCTGCTTGGGAGGGTCGGAGGAGCCGCCGAGAAAGAGCGAGGTCACTGTCTTCTGCGCGCCTGGCGCCACGGCCTTGGGCGCCGAGCGCTCGTCCTCCTTCCCGCCTATCTTCGATCCCCGCGTTGTGACGGAAGCGATGCGCACCACCTGCCCTGCAGGTGTGCTCTTCTTTTTGCGCCCACGGAGCGTCAGGGGGCTCTTGGCTTGGTCTGGTTTGGGCTGTCTGAGGTCCTCGCTCCTGCCGCTGTCCGAGCGATGGGAGAACTTGAGCACGCGGTCGGCGTCGGCGTCGCTGGGCCGCCGCAACTTGTGCAGCCTGGACGGCGTTTGGCTCGGACGGGACAACGACTCGGGCGACGCAGAGGACACGGGGCTGGAAAAGGAGAGCAATCTCCCGAGGTGGCGAGAGGAAACCAGGGCACCGACCGGAGGGGGCGAGGCAAGTCTCCCCACGACGCCCGGCTAGTGCTGCCAACTGCTACGACGCGGACGCCACCCGTGGCGTGGAGATCTGAGCGCGAGCTGCCTGCCTGACTGACTGCTACTTGCTTGAGCATGCGTTCTCGGGGCAGTACGACTGGATTGCCACGTTCACGTCTCCATAGGCGGCGCAAGCAAGAACACGAGCGAGCGCGAGCTATTGTTGTCCGGCAGAGCTTGGTGGCGAAACGACCAGCCGACTGCCTGCCTTCCTCCTGCATTTGGACTCCCCTCTAATTATACTTCGGCGGGCGCCCTCGTCCTGCATTCTATTGCTAGACTTGACCCATCCAATCTTCACGCAGAGCAGAGCGAGCGTCGAGACACTAACGATGTGAGCGCGATAGACGTGCACACGTGATGGGGAGCCGCCTCCACCACGAACGACGGAGGCGACACAGCGTCCGTCATGGGGACGGGAATACTAGTAGGATACCGGTGTGGACGCACTACCTGATGACAATAGGCCTCGACTTCCTCGCTCTACGTAGGCCTGAGGCATGCACTGCAAGGCCGAAGTTGAGGAGTGAGCTCTTCGAGATGGGTACATGTTGAAGTGATAGGCGAGAGTGTGGTGCACACAAGACCAGTTGTGTACCCACACACCAAAAGTGATGCTATCATTCAGGTGTGACGACTTCAAATTGATTCATCAACAGAGGAGCTCTTCAAAGGCGTCGGCATTCCCCAACCTTCCTCGTCGTGACGAACCGCTGCCATAATGCCGGAGCAACTGTATGCGAGCCCCATCAGCCAGCCTTCGCGTGCCGGTACGCATGCGCACACTCTGTGCGGAAGACTGGAGCCTGCCTATCCTAGCGGTTGTCACTGACGGACTGTCCGTAGTTTACTGGCTCTGCAAGGTCAACAACCACCCCATCGAGTACAAGTACACGGACTCGGGCAAGGGCGAGACGCGCACCGATACGTTTCTGCAGCTGAGCCCCATTGGCAAGATCCCCGTGCTCAAGGACGGGGAGTTCGTGCTCACTGAGAGGTGAGAGAGGCGTCAGTTAAGATGCAACAACTGTTGCAATGACCTCACTGACGCCGTGTTGTCTGCAATTCCGTAACATTGAAGCCATGCCATCATGCTTTACCTTGCGGACAAGCACGACTGGGAGTCCTGGTGCCCTAAGGACCTCAAGATCCGCGCTCGTGTAAGCTGCGGCCTAGAGTCGATGCAGTGCTCCTCAAGTTGAAGCCTTGACTCATGTTTGTGCTTGATTGGCATCAGATCCACGAGTACACGAACTGGCACCACCTCAACACGCGCCGTAGCTCGGAGATCTTCTTCAACCAGCTAATGGTGAACATCGGTCGTGGCACGCCTGCCATGGAGGCCATGCTCCAGAAGAAGCACAAGATCATCGCCGACATGTTCCGCATCCTGGAGTTCTGGTTGCGTCACGGCAACTTGTACCTCGTAAGCAACACTAAGCCCACGGTCGTGGACCTGTCTTGCTACAACGAAGTGGTGCAGCTCGAGGTCATGGGACTGCTCACCAACGTGGAGAAGGACTTCCCCAAGGTCGCGGCCTGGCTCAAGCGCATGAAGGTAAGCAGCATCTTGCTTTTATCTAAAATTCCAAATGGCTGACCCATACAAATGCCAAACTATTGCAGGACGTCCCGCACCACGACGAGATGCTGGCGCCCATGGGCAAGTTCTTCCGCAAGTTCAAGCTGGCAGCGCACAAGCTGTGAGCTGCTCACATTTCGTGAAAATGTATCGAACTTGTGATTGGCCAAAAATGTAGTGAGGAACTTTCATCCAATGAAATTACGTTAAATCTCACAATAAACGTCGCTTTTGCGCTGCTGGCTCCTACGCCTCTCAATTTCCTTGTAGCGAGCGAGTGGAAGAGCATCATGTCGGCCGTGGCTAAGAGCTTCAAGAACGCCTTCCAGGTGCTGACGCCCACGCGCGAGTACGGCGTGGGCGCGCGCGTGACGCGCGGCATCTGGGCCAAGTACGCGGAGCCCTCGTACTGGGAGGTGGTGCGCATCCGCCCGTCGCCCGACCTCAAGCACGGCAAAGTCTTCGGCAGATTCACCTTCCGCGGTGCGTCGGTCCCTGCGTGAGACCAATACTGATTGGACAAATAGCTGATTATCTGTGTACGTGATTGGCTACGAGCAGGCAAGACGGACCCCAAGGTGAAGCGCATCAACGGCGTCTTGAAGAAGGACTGGAGCTTCTTCGAGGCGTAAGCAGAGCGAGCGTCTTGGTGCAAACAGCAGACACAGTTGATAGAGGAGGACGAAGCCGCTCGGCAGTTTTGCTTTTCGGGAGATTGGCGTCCGTACGCGGTAAGACTGCAATACACGGCGGGGTATTATGTCAAAGTATTCTGTGTGAGTTGTTGTTGTTATCGTTGCAAAGCGGTTCAGGCGGTGACATGAACACCTTTGTGCTGCCTAAAACCCCCCGCTTCGTTCAATTCCTCCAGCAAGCTCGTACCGAGATGGCAACTCGTGTTCATGGATCTGTCGGAGGTTCCGTTCGATGTGTCTGCGATTCTGCAGTTCGTGCGTAGGCGCAAAATCCACTTGGATCGAACCCTGCTCGCCGTCTAGAGAACAACCGCAACATCTTCGAGCCGTTCGTCTTGCGCCCGAGCTCGAGAATACGAACACCATCCAGTGCTTACGTAATGGCTGGTTCCTCGAAGAACGCACCACTGGAGAGTCAAGCCCAAGAACGAACTCTTCACGATGAAAGCAAAATCGACTGCTCGCTGATTTTCGTGTCGTGCCGACCGGGAAATTTGCTGCAGTGCACAGAGATCAACGTCATCAAGTACAAGACCGAGATCGCGAGCATTTTGAAAAATGGAGAACTGTGGAGCCTCGTGCTACTTTCACTGTGCCGCCGCTTGTTCCAGCGTCAAGTCATGGCCCGCGACCAGCGCAAGAGCTTCGTTTTGGAGCTAGCCAGGTGCGCGATGGCTGCGGTCGAGAATCGTGACGCTCCTATTTGGTGTATCCGTCGTCGTGATGCCGGTGTATGCCATCTTCTCATTGATCGCTTCAGATTCTACAGGAAGCGTTGACATCCATGTTGTGTGCGTAAAAACTTTCACGGCGTCCATACCGCCGGAACCGGTTAACTGTGTGCATGGACGCTGGGAGACAATGTTGCGTCATATCTTTGCTTGAGTTGGGCGCATCATTCGCCGCCTTAGCCCGCTCTTCCCACCGAAGTTCCATGATACCCGCCTCATCGGTGGCCTTAGCTGTCCGAAGCCAACGCGTGTAAAGGTGAAGCCCCGCCACGTTCACCCCCTCCGACACCCGTCACTTCCGATCCCGCGCTGTCGCCCTCATTCGACTTCTCACCTCGCGCCATGGACCTCAAAGATGTTCCGTTCGATGTGCCGATCATCCTCCACTCGACCCACAAGCACAAGAACCTGCAGAACCCAGTTGGCTCCAAGATGGCTTGGTGTCTGGCGGACAACCGCGACGTGTACGAGCAGCTCGTGCTTCGCCACATTGACGACGACAAGGTCGCCATCCAGTCGGTCCGCGATGACCGCTTCCTCCAGGTCCGCCCCAACGGCGACTGCGTGTTCGACTCCACTCGTCTCGACGACTGCGATCTGTTCACCATGGAGACCGACAGCGCCTGCTTCATCTACTTCGTCTCCTGCTTCACGGGCAACGTGCTACAGTGCGAGGGTGATGACACCGTCAGATGCGTGAACAAGAACCGTCTCGAGTGTGAGGCCTGGACTATCCTGAAGCCCTGCACCGCCGACCCAGCTCCCGGCCATTGGTGCGGTGGACAAGACCGCCAGCGGCTCATCCTGGACCTGGCCAAAGGTGGCAAGTCGCCCGACGAGATGGAGCAGATCGTGACGAGGCTGGTGGGTGTACGCTCGACGCTCGCCATTCCCCTCGACCGGCAGTAACTTGGCTACACAAGCAAGTTGAAGTTTATGGCAAACTATCAAAACCCATCTATCATCATGAACAAACCTATCATAACGCATTTTGTTGAAGGTCGCATGTTCGAGAGATTTCCACATCAAATCTTTCGCCACGTAGCAGCGCCGAGTGGCGCACTCCGCTTCACTGCATTTCACTATCGTTAGCTGAGAGCGCATCCACTCCTGATGCTGTTGCATGTAGCGCGGCTGCTGCTGGCGGCGCTCGGCGTCGGCCTCTGCCCGCGCGCCGCCGCGCTCGAGGCCATCACGTCCAAAGCGGAGCTCGCGGCCGTCGAGCGCTCGCCCAAAGTGCACGCGCTGCTGGTGCTCGGCACCGAGGAGAAGGCGCACGACATGAGTCTGCAGGAGCTGGGCGCGGCCGCGTACCCGACGCTGCCGGAGCTGGAGAAGGAGCTGGAGGGCCTCGTGACCTTCGGCGTCGTGGACATCGCGCCGCACCGCAAGGACTCGATCGGCAACAAGTGGCAGCTGGCCAAGCTGCCGGCGCTCATCGTGTACAAAGATCCGCCCAAGGAGAACCCGTACACGGGCAAACTGTATCGAGACCCGATGGCCGCCGACGTGTCCATGCTCGACAACCCGAGGAAGATCAAGCGGATGTTGAAGCAGGCGATCCCGACAGAGTTCGTCACGGAATTGACGGGGGATGACGTGAGCGTTGAGGGCTTTGAGAAGCTCGTGGAAGAGCAAGAGACGCTGGCGCTGCTGATCTCCAAGCACAAGCACGCGACGCCCATGTACCGAGCGCTGGCGACGGAGTTCAGTGGCCAAGGACTGCGGTTCGTGTTCCTCAACAAGGAGGAGGAAGGAGCGGAGGAGATAATAAAGGCGCTGAAAGTGGAGGAGTTTCCGGCCATGATGGTGCTGAGGTCCATGACGGAGCATGTGGTGCTCAAGCCGGAGAACTCCAAGACATACCAGGAGCTGAAGGGCTTTGTCGAGCCGTTTGCGCAGCAGGAGACCAAGAGCAGCGGCGTGAAGAGCGACAAGAAGGGCCAGCACAGCGGTTCCAAGTATATCAGGTTCTTCACTGGAAAAGATTTCGACGACTTGGTTATGAAGTCGGATGTGGTCTGGATTATCGAGTTCGTGGATGCAGAGCGGGAGCAGGCGTTGACGGAGGAGGAGTGGAAGAAGGCTCTGACGGAACTGCATCGCAAGGCTGGTGTCGTGGCACTTGGCGCGGTTAGCTGCGAGAAGGAAGCTGAGTTGTGCGAACGCTATGGCGGGCCTGGGGTACGTATCTTCCCGCTGGGGCTTACGGATGCGAAGACGTTAAAGCGTGGCGATATGCTTCCTGAAACGTTTACAACGATTGATGAGGCAAAGGAGACGGCTATCGCATCAATCCCGGATCTCACCGTTACTATTGAGTCTTCAGCCGACCTGAACGCGTTCATTGCTAACGCCAGAGGTGACCACGCCCTGCCCATTTTGCTCTTTACGTCGAAGAAGGCCACTCCGCCAACGATGAAGGGACTTCTGCATTCAGTTCCGTCGCAAAAGATTAAGCTGGCGATTATCCGTGACGCCGATGAGGATTTGAAAAAGCAGTTCTTGGTCAAACCGTCGGCAAGTACGTCGCTGGTGTGCTTGGTGCCCACTAAAGCTAACCCGGAGGACCCCACTTCTGCGCCGTTTGGAGTCGTCGCTTACGATAAAAAGACGATGGGCTCGTACACGTACCCGAACGTCATGCAGTTTATCTTGCAGGTGCTTGCACAGTACCCTCACCCCCGGGACGTCAAGCCTGATGAAGAAACCATCGACTTGTCGTCGCTGGAAGCGTCTTCAACCAGCTCGCTCGTGCCGTATCTGACCAAGGAAAACATGGAGGACCTCTGCGGCGGCAACAAGATCTGCGCCATTGGTTTCTTCGAGGACCACGTAGACACGCTCAGCGACCCCGATTCCCGACTCGCAAAGTGGTGGAGCACCTTCGCTCAAGTGGCTGCCCAGAGCAAGCAGCACCGGGAGCCATTCCACTTCATGTGGGTCAATGGCAAGTGCCAGAAGGCTTTCGCTGAAGCTTTCGGTGTTGGTCTCTTCCAGATGCCCACAGTTGCTGTGTACTCTCCTTCCAAGCAACGCTACGCGACCAACGTGGGGCTCTTCGACGAGGAGAACGCAGCGGCGTTCCTGAAGAGCGTGCTGTCAGGCAGCATCGGAACGGCGCCGATCGGAGACGAGCCCGAGCTCGGCGAGGAGTGCTCGTTCGACGAGATCCAAGAAGTGGCAGTAGGAGCTGACGGCGTTGCTGAAGACGACGAAGACCTCGACGACATGCTGAGCGAGATCCTCTCGGACGAGAAGCAGCAGCGCGACGAGCTCGAGAAGGAGCTCAAGGCCGAGCAGAAGCAGTCCAAGAAGGGCAAGAAGAAGCACAAGTCCAAGAAGAAGAAATCCAAGAAGAAAAAGGCGCCGCGCGACGAGCTGTAGCACAGACTGCACTAGAACCAGCAGCACCAATGCCCATGCCAATCACCCGCAAGTTGAAGCGGCCTGCCGTCGCGTTTTGTATTGAATTTTGTATGGAAACATTTCGCTCCATTCATTGGACGAAAACATACCATTTTCATCCAATCCATACGACCATCCGGTTATTTCCGCTGTTGGTCCCTACCCCTGTCGGTCAGCCTTATTGTGTCCGCGTCGGCCACGGTACTCGCCCTCTCGGCGTCCTCCATTCATTCTCGCGCGCCAGCCAAGCCTGTTGGAAGCTGGGCAGTGCTCAGTGAAGATTCCGATATTCCTCCGACTGAAAAATGGCCAAGCGTACGTATGAGTCTCTTGGGCCTTGGCGGTCTCCCGGGCTCTCGCACCCAGCCAGCTCCAGCAGGTCCAATATGCTCGCTCGACCGCTCCTCCCTGTCCTCCCTCTCTCCTTCAAAGAAGCAGCAACACCCACAGCCCAATGACTAGGAGGCAACATGCCATCAGACGACGCAGCTCTACCAACCGGCAAACAGGCTCAACGAACACCAAGGCAGGAAGGACGCACACACACAGGCGCAGCTACAGGGAGAAAGAGAGAGGAGGAAGGGCGAAGGGCAATTGACTGCTGTGAGCGGGGACGATGCAGTGCCCGTGGAGACGCTGAGCAGACCAAAGTAGCAGCGAATGGACGCGAGTGGCTGACAATGTTGCGGTATGCTATTGTGGTGTGCAGACAAGCCTTCTGGTATCCGCTGCGCGCGTAAGCTGCGCGTGCACCGCCGCACGCAGCGCTGGGCTCAGAAGTCCTACAACAAGTCCCACTCGGTGACTGCCATGAAGGCCAACCCGCTCGGTGGCTCCTCCATGGCCAAGGGCATTGTCCTTGAGAAGATGTAAGCGCGCCGCTGCTACAGTACTGCTTGATGGTGCGTCGCAGGTTGCTGACTCTTCTGTTATTTTGATGCGTGCAGCGGCATTGAGGCCAAGCAGCCGAACTCTGCCATTCGTAAGTCGTGCCGTGTGCAGCTGATCAAGAACTCCAAGAAGATCGCCGCCTTCGTGCCGCGCGATGGTTGCTTGAACTACGTGGACGAGAACGACGAGGTCCTGATCTCGGGCTTCGGTCGCCGCGGCCACGCCGTCGGTGATATCCCCGGTGTGCGTTTCAAGGTCGTCAAGGTCTCGGGCGTGTCGCTGCTCGCTCTGTACAAGGAGAAGAAGGAGAAGCCGCGCTCGTAGATTATGTGCCCGTCGACAAGGGGGATCTCGCCCGTGGTGGCGCCTGCATCGGCTCGTGAGTGTGACCGACGCAGCCTCCAGCTGCTTTGGGTTGCTGAGCTCGTTCTTTGACAGGTTCAGCTACTGTTGGCTCTGCCCGCGGCAGTCCATTTTTCCTAATCACGGATAAGAAGGAATCGCTTGCCCAGCACGACCGCTTTTTGCTTTTTTGATCGACCCTGCGCTTAAATGCTTTACGTTTGTTGCAGCGACTTGGTACAGAGCTTGCAGACTTGACAGTGTCGACAGTCAGGAAATGAAACGACAGGGTTTATGACCAAGCAAGAGCCCGCGCACATCAGCAACTGTCGGTATCGTTCCTTGTCGAAAATTGCCTTCTTCAGGTCTTGTACTATTGCACGATCTTCATGGGCAAAACAGCTCGAGGAATTTCCATAAGTCAGTAAATACTACTGAGATTTGCAGATTTGGATTTGTTCCAGGAAAACTACTGATCAGTACTTTTCCGACGAGTTAGTGTTCAGCTATAGTATTATTAATAGTACTGTACTACTATACATAAAGCCGAGCACGTGAGACTGCTGCGTTGCAGTGCGTGCTCTTGGCCTCCGTGTTGGCGCTAGCCGTGACGGTGTTCCTCTGGTCGTCGCTGGCCTTTACTACCTTGACAGTGTGTAGCTGTTTGACTAGCACCTGCTCGTACGAGTACGTGTGCCTGACGAACCACGCCAAGCAAGGCCTAGCGGGGGATATTGCAATCTTGACATGTATCGGTGGTAATGTTATTTCTACATTCTGCATCTATTAGAACATGAAAAAAACACGTTGAGAGTTTCGATACTCGTATGTGTTCTGGACTGAGTTCTCATTTTACCGCTAATCAAAATGCACTCGGACTCTCCCCTGATTAGTAGACAGAATAACAACCCGCAGTACAACATATTGCCTTAAAAAGCTACAGACAGCAAATGCTGGATCGCACACCAGGCGGTGGACGTTCATACAAACCTGCCGCGCAATTTTAACTAGACGAGCATTTTAGCTAAGCGAGTTACAATACCGCCACGTGCAGTTAACTCCTATTGTTGGGGTGTGCGTTAGAACCCCGCGTTTTACTGCCTATAGTTTTAGAGTTGTAAGACATCGGTACTTTTTAGTAGTAATTATCGTGCCCTATGACTATTTCGAACCTGTAATACGTACTATGTACGAATGAGCTCTGAATGCCTCTGATAGCCACTAACCTGTCTAGAACTGCTTCGGTGTTACAGAGTCTACAGCGAATGCTGCAATCAAATGGGGGGCTACAGCGGAGAGCAGTCCTTTGTCAATGCCGCCTCTATTCAATACTTATAACTCTAGAACTCCGTATTATAATTCAAATGACCCAACAGGACATCATATTTTCAACTGCTCTTTGTGTTGGGCGAAAACAAATTTGACGAATTGAAAATGTGTGTAACCGTTTGCCTATCCTAAATCCCACTACAAGGGCTATGTTTTTTGCAGTTAGCTGTACCCTTGAGAAAACCATAGAAAAAATTGGGACTGCGGGAGAACTATGCCCCTGTACAGCCTCCATTACATAGTAAATAATCTGTGAACTGAAGCACTGCTTCAACTGCGAAGCTGCAATATACGCACTTATGTTCACGAGTAGATGCAGTGCTCACTCCGAGTGCGACTGGCGTTAAGAGTGAAAAATAAAAAGAATTACGCACTTATACACGTACTATTGCTATATTGCAACCTCCACAGTGATTTAGACAACACAGCACGACTGATAATGACTTGTTTAGAAATACTGATGACATCCCAGAACTACTGATGTTCGAAAATAGTAATCCAGAAGCAGTTGTGCAGAATACTATTTTCCAATCCCAACACAAAATCTCAGTAGTACTTACTGACTTATGGAAATTCCTCAAAACAGCTCCCTCGCAAAAGACTCCGCAGTTAAGCTCAACTTCTTTCACCTGCTGCATCATCACATCTGTGATTTCTTCGGTCGAGAAGAACTTGAGAAGAAGAACAAGAAATCCTTCATTTAGTGATGAAGCGGAGGGAAACTTTTAGTTTTGATTGATTGACGGATTGATACTGTTGTCACTTGTACATAACTCCAAAGCGACGCCATTTCCGAGTTCTCCTCGAACATGCAGCCTATGGATCTCGCGGATATCCCGTTCGACGTGCCAGTGATTATTCAGTCGGTGCGCAAGCAGAAGAATCTGCAAAATCCTGTCGGGACCAAGAAGGCTCGCTGTCTCGTGGACAACCGAGACATCTACGAGCAGATGATCTTGCGTCGCCAACCTAACGACAAGGCCGCGATTCAGTCGGTGCGCAACGGCCGCTTCCTCCAAGTTCGAGCGAACGGAAGCTGCGAGTTTGACGCACAAGAGGTCAACGAGCGAGCGCTTTTCGCGTTGGAGACCGACTCGACGTGCTCCATTTTCTTTGTCTCGAGTTTCATGGGGAACGTTCTTCATGCAACAACGAAAACGTCGCCAGGTGCGGCAACACGCTCCGGGAACTCTGGGAAGAATGGAGAATTGTGGAGCCTCGCACTGCCAGTCTGGCGACGCAAGCACGCCAGTAGATTCCCCAAAATGTGGGTGAAACCAGATGGGACAGCATAACCGAGCTTCATGCTTGGCAAGGAGGCAATTTACAATTCTATTGCGAGATTCTAAAACTTTTAATACTAGCAAAACTGTTTATCACAGTACCTCGACGCTGTATGTTTCTTCGGGTTCAACGCACTTCCCTTGTACGACACGGTCGCACAAGTTATATTCACGCCGGAGTTCGGCGCCATCCACAACATAGCAAAGCAGAACTATACCTTATGGAAAGAGGCCGACCGCAGACAGCTCTCGTCCATCGTGGCCATCAAGAGCGAGGTCTTCCTGAATGACAAAGTTCAAGTGCCATCATAGACGACCGAGTGTTTGGCGGAGAGGTAGTACTCGTCGTCGTCGTCACTGTCCGACGAAGACTCGGAGCCGGTCGTGGAACAGTCGGAGGAGGCCTGTACCGACATTCCTTGAGCTCCTGTTAGACCGACTCTTGATCCGATACGGTTGCCTCGATAAAGTTGAACGCGTTCTTTGGAATCTGAGCGTTATTTCGGTGAGGATATGGCCTTCGCTGAACCACGAAAAATGTCACTTGTCCTTCAGATCTCCCCGCGAACCCAACTTGATAACAAAACTAGCAGAGCTACTGCCACTTGGCCTGGGCACCGTCAACTTCGCGCGTCTTTGCCGTATCAAGGCCCACTGAACGTTTCCACTGTGCTCAGTCCATCCCCGCTGCCAGAACACCGTACAAACAAAATTCTAATCCGGTCCAAAGTGGTCGATAATAAGAAAAAATGAATACAACTTCGGACCAAGAATTTACGCTTTGACGTGAGTCAACTATCAGTAATATCATCAGGCAGGCCCACCGACAGCCTTCGTCAAGAAAGCATCAACACGAAGAGTCTTAATTGACCGAGGAACGAACGAGATTTTCTGCATGTAGTAGGCATTAGTATAGCCCTGCTCCACGCAATCCACATCCTTTTCTTTCAAACTTGTCAGCGAAATCCATGAAAGTCTTCGCACGTCAGCGATTTAGTGAGACCATTGCCATCGGCTTCCATGAGCATTCCCCGATTTCTTGCTCAAGCACCCAGTTCCTGCGATGGTTATTCCTTACAATGTTCCTATTATTCTACAGTCGGTGCGTACGCAGAGGAACTTGCAGAATCCTCCCGGCTCAAGAAAAGCACGTTGTCTCGTTGACAACCGCGACGTCTACGAGCGAGCGATCCTGCGTCTTGTGGACGGCAACAGAGTTTCCATCCAGTCTGAGCACAGTGGGCGATACCTGCAAGTCTCCACGTCTACGAGTTGCGTCTTTGATCCAAAGAGCGACGGGCAGTGGGAACACTTCACCATGGAATGCGACGCTGACGGCAACCTGCATTTCATTTCGTGCCATACTGGAACCGCTCTCATCTGCAACGACAAAGGCGTCGTCAAGTGTCCGAGTGAGAATCAATACTACTGGGCGGCGTGGAGGATCGTGGAGCCGCGAGCTGTCGTCACCCTCGTGCAGGTTGCTCCTGCTCAGCACCACGCTCTCGCTGGGAAAGAGCGCCAGAGCTTTATACTGGAGCTGGTGAAGTGCGGAAAGTCGACGGGGGAGATCGAACAGATCGTGACGCGCATGTTCGACGCGATACCGAGTCGCAGCGCGGTTTTTGCTGTTCCAGTCGAAAAGAGAGAAGTTGTTGTCGAAAAGAAGGAAAGAGTGGACAAGAAGACCCCAAGCTAGCAAAAGAGATAAGTTTTCAGGTGCCTGGTTGACTATCAAATTCTACTTCTATACATTACCAGCATTGAAAGTGAACAAGTCAATCGCCGAGAGATGAAGTTCTAAAGTCGGGTAAACTACTGTCATTCATCTGACAGATTGAATGACCTCCACCCACTACACGAGAAGAAACCGAGCATCATTCTTCATTTTTCATCGGCTTATCCCCATGTCGTGTCTCCAGCATCTCGATATCAACGCGCTGCCTCTGAACACGCCGATGCTCTTAATGACGGCAGACTCCCTCCTGGACGACGATTTCATGCAGGAAAGAGTTCCTTTTGTGGAGCTTCAACCAGCTCAGGGGGGAGTGGTGCAGATCCGCAGGTCGGGGTCTTCCAGGGCTTTGGGCTCTGCGTGCAACTTCGACCTCGAAGACGGTGCTGAATTCGAGACGCTCTCAACTCCAAGCGGGATGGTGGTTTTCGAGGAATGCTGTGAGGAGAACTGCTTGGGGTCCCCAAGTTGGGGATATCGATGGAGGACCGGAGCGAAGTTGTTGAGTGTGATAAGGCGTATGAAGGCAAATGGCAGGAGTGGCTATTGCTCAAGCCACTGCTTCCTCCCAGTTTACTCGTCAAGAACTTGGCCGCTGCCTCTCTTTCCGATCCCGACGCGCGCAGACAGTTGATCTGGTATCTCTTGGAAGCCGGCAACTCGAGCGAAACAGTTGCCGAACTTCTGAAGCTCCTACTTGCTGACCCCAACGCTGGTTTGAGTGCCGCCGAACGTCAAGAGCTGGTGCTGAAGCTGGCTGAAATGAATATATCGATGGGGGAGATTGGGGCTATGATGGCGTTGATGTACCCTACCAAAGACCCAACCAGCACGACCAAGAGTGAACAAGCAAGGGCGATAACGGCACAAGATGGATGCTCGGGGGACTGTGCCGGGGAGTATGTCACGGTGGAGCATGACTACATGTAGACTGAGTTCGACGCGATCCCAATAAACTCGCCTCTGGTTATGATTTCTTCGACTGGATCCACGTTGAACACGCCACGAACGGGTTCACGCTTTGTTGAATTGAACAATTAGTTACAATCCACAGTGCCGACGATAAGTCCAAGTGCTTTGTCTTGAATGCATATCAACAGTGTGTGTTCTGGAGCGCGGATGTTGCGCTTGAGTTCAAGATGAGGAAGACTTCGGCTGGTCGGCTAGTGCTGGTCGAACATTTAACTGGGTGCGTGCTTGAAGCTGAGACGCAAGGCCAAACGAGCCTGTCGAAATTTATATTCGGCCGAGTCACAGTCGTGGCTGTTGTTCACTGCGTGCAAGGTAGACTCGTGTGCAGCGAGTCTTACAATGCCGGGATCACAGAAGAAGGACCATTCTCCTGATGCACGACGTCAGTTGATCATGGAGCTTGCACTGGATAAAGAGTCAAGCAAAGATATTGGCGAGGCCTTGAAGCTGATCTATGGGTCTGCAGAGCCAGACCAAGCTCTTCGCGTGACGAATGAGCTTCGCTTGCAGCAGACATTGAAATTATTTGAAGGAAGAGTGTCAACACAGCGTATTGGCGAGTTTCTGAAGATGATGTACGGAACGTCTGATCCGCTGTAGCACGGTTTGCCTTGAGCTACTGCTAATTACATGTAGTTTTTCCTACGAACATTTCCGCATTTCATTTATATGTATTGGTGCATTAACTTAAATGAACATTATCTGTGTGCTGAATAGAAAAGCATCGAGATGTTCCTCAGTACAGATTTATCGCTGCTCCAGTCGAAAAGAGAGAGGGGGGGGGGGGGGAGAGAGAGAGAGGAGAGAGGTTGCTGTTGTTGAAAAGAAAGGAACACTTCACTGACTACTTGTCAATAGTATCCTTAGCAGTCGGTCAAGTCAAATCGGAAGCCAATCATCGAGAGATGAACTTTCAAATAGAGGGTAAACTATTGTCACTCAGCACTACGAACGAGATCGAATGAACCCCCCAGATCGTTGCCAGCCCCGGCCATTCATCTTTTTGCAACGACTTGCCACAATGTCTCGCCTCGTGCATCTCGATACCAATGCGCTCCCGCTGAAGACGCCGCTGCTCTTGATGACCGCTGAAGGCTGCCTCCTCGAAGTTGATTCTATGGTTCCGCTGGTTGAGCTTCAACAAAAGTGGTTAGGACGGGGAATGCTGGAGATCCGTAGATCTGGAGCCCCCAGGGTTTTGACCGGAGGCGGCGGTTTTAGCCACGAGTACGACTCGGTTCAATTGGAGCCATTCTCGACTCCAAGTGGGATGGTTGTATTCAAGAACCGCTACAGTGATCGATGCCTGAGCGTGTCAACGGGCGGCCAATACCAAAGTGTTGATTCTTATGCTGCTTATGACGGCAGCGGCCAGGAGTGGCATTTATTGAGGCTCGTTCTACCAGCCACTGCCAGTTTTCGCCCCAAGGACTTAGCCACGGCCGCTCTTTCCCACCCAACTGCGCGCAGGAAGCTAACCTGGTGTCTTCTGGAAACTGGAAACCCATGTGACATGGTTGCCGATATTGTGAAGCTCCTATACGGAAGAGTAAATCCCAAGGCTGATTTGAGTGTCGCGGAGCGTCAAGAGCAAGCGCTGCTGAAGCTGATATACCCATATTCATCGCAAGAAACGATTCGAGCAATGAAGGTGCCCGTGGGCGGTCCAAACCTGCCTCTTCCTACCGAAGATCCAGCGACATCCGTGGTCAAGAGTGAACAAGCAACGGTGGACGCAAAATACGCTGTGATGGTGACAGCTCGTCAGAGGGTGGCGATCAATACGTCGCAGTGGGGTCTGCTAGCTTGAAACCCGCTGGGTTCGACGCGATTCCGCTGAACTCGCCTCTGGTTATGGTTTCTTCGACTGGATGCACGTTGAATACGCTGGAAACGGGCTCCGGCTTCGTTGAACTGAAGTACCGCCACGATGGCTTAGTTACGATCCACAGTACCGCCGACAAGTCGAAGTGCCTCGTTTTGAATGCGTACCGGCAGTGCGTGTTCGGTAGTGAGGAGTTTGCGCTTATGTTTGAGGAGAAGCTGTCTCCATCTGGGCGACTGGTGCTGGTGGAATCTTGCAGTGGCTGTGTTCTCGAAACGGAGGTCCAAGGTCGAACGCGCCTTGTGGTGTGCCGAAACTTGTATTTGACGGAGTCGCAGTCGTGGCTTTTGTTCGCTGCGCACACTCTTCCTTCAAGTCTCGCACCATTGGGATTGCAGAAGCCGACGTATTCGCCTGATGCGCGACGTCAGTTTATCATGGAGCTAGCGCTGACAAGGAAACGAAGCAAAGAAGTTGGTGGGGTCTTGAAGTTGATTGTGGGTCTGAAACTATGCCATCCAACACTCCTGTAGCGACGGATGCGATTCGTGTCGAGCGCGTTCAGCAGATACTGGAGCTGTTCGAAGGGAGAGTGAAAACGGAAACTATTGAAGAGTATTTGAAGATGATGTACGGGACGAGTTCTCCACTATAAAATGCGGAGAGCTGCTGCAGGAGCTTGTCACAGTGATGAGGCATGAACACTTTTTAACCCCACATACATGTAATTCATTCAAGTTACACTTTTACCGTGCTTGCGAACTCTTCGTCAACGCGCGAAATAAAATTCAGGCAACGCCCGCGTTACCTCGAATAATGCAAATCCAATAGCTAGGCACAGCGTTTTGACTTGCATATATTAAAAAAAAACACTGTTGAATCGCTCCCCTCTCGCTCATTACCACTCAATGGTCTCTTGCACATCAATCACGGCTTTCAGTATCCAAGCCACCACTCAAGATGCAAACCCAGGAGAATAAACTACTGTCACTCAGCTATACGAAGGAAAGTAGGCAACTAATTGCTCGTTCTCCACTAATTGCTCATTCTCCACTATAACGTTGCCAGCAAGGCCGACCTCATTCATCTTTTTGCGACGACCTACCACCATGTCGTTTCTCCAGCATCTCGATATCAACGCGCTGCCCCTGAACAGACCGCTTCTGTTGATGACGGCGGAAGGTGATCTTCTGGAAGATAATCTTACGCAGAAAACTGTTCCTTTTGTCGAGCTTCGGCAATTCGGAAGGAGAGGCGGGGCGATTGAGATTCGCAGGGCTGGATCTCCGAGGTATTTTGGCGGAGGGGGCTGTTTTGACAAGAACCTTAGTTTTTCGTTCGAGACATTGGTAACTCCAAGTGGGATGGTCGTCTTCAAGAACTACTGTAAAGACACTTGTCTAGGGGTAGAACCGGAGGCCCGAAGCAAACGTGGTGAGTGTAATAAGGCGTATTAAGGCAAATGGCAGGAGTGGCTATTGCTAAAATCAATACTACCAGAGTGTTTACTCCCAATGAATTTGGCCGCTGCATCACTTTCCGAGCCGACTGCGCGCAGGCAGCTAACCTGGTGTCTTCTGGAAGGCGGGAATTTTTGCGAAACTGTTGCCGAAGTATTGGAACTCCTGTATGGTACAGCTGAATTACTGAACGATTCCAATGCAGATTTAAGTGCCGCGGAGCGTCAAGAACAAGTGCTGAGGCTGGTTAACGCGAATATGTCGCTGGAACGAGTTCGGGACACAATGGCGCTGTTGTACGGCAAAAGTCCGTCACTTCCAGACAAAGACCCAACAATTACGATCAAGAGTGAGCAACCGAAGACGGAAGCGAAGTTGGCTGATGATGAGCGCTCGGCAGAGAGTGGTGATCAATATGTCACCGTGGCTTGTGTTAGCGACGACCACACTGATCTTGACGCGATCCCACTGAACTCGCCTCTGGTTATGGTTTCTTCGACCGGATCCACGCTCAACATGTCGAGCACAGGTTCCTGCTTTGTGGAATTGGGCTACAACGAGGAGGACGAAGGGCTGGTTACGATTCGAAGCGCCGCCGACAGGTCTAAGTACCTGGTTCTGAACGCATATCTGCAGTGCGTGTTCGGTAGTGCGGAATTTGCGCTCAAGTTCAAGATGAAGCTGTCTCCAGCAGGGCGACTGGTGCTGGTGGAGCATTTAACTGGGTGTGTTCTTGAAACGGAGGTTCAAGGCCGAATGAAGCTGGTGGTGTGCCGGTATCCGTATTCGACACAGTCTGAGTCGTGGCTTTTGTTTACAACTTACGATCTCCCAACAGATCTCACAACGTCGGGAGTGCAGAAGACGGAATATTCCCCTGATGCACGACGTCAGTTGATCATGGAACTTGCAATGAACGGAAAACCATTAAATATGTTAGTGAGGTCTTGAAGCTCATGTACGGGTCCGCAATACCCGCAAACACTCCTATCGCGACACATGAGGTGCGGGCCGAGCGTCTACAGCAGATACTGGAACTGTTTTGGGGAAGAGTGTCAACGCGAGATGTTCGTGATTTTCTGGAGATGCTGTACGGGACGGCTGCTCCGCTATAACACACAGAGCGCTCTTTTTGAAGGCTCCGAGCGGCAGGGCGAGCGAAAGATAGTGCAGTAGCGTCCATTCTGCCAAGGTGGCATTTGATGCTTTGAATACATGCAGCTAGTTCTCCATACAACCTCTTCGCGTTAAGGCCAAGGCAATGATACCCCGCGCTACCTTCGGCGAAAGTCTACAGTAGACCACCAACACTATTTACTCCCAAGTGCGCTTGGTCGCAGAGGTACTAAGAGACCAGTTTCCATGTTGGTAGGGCGATTTCTTCTTGATGAGTCACGCTCCCATTTCACCCAGTGCACGACCGACATCAAACCGACGCATTCACGTTCACAATCAAACAAAACGGCACTGCAGTTGCACTCTCGAATCGTTGTCGGCAGAGTGAGCTACAACGTTCCTTCCATCTGATTCGCTAAAAATCCATGCTTGTCAATCCAAAAAAAACAACGAGAAACGGCTCACTATCGAAATCTCCAGCCAAGCCCCAAGTTCTCCTCAATCCTATCGCCAATGACGCAGATGCAGGTGGAACTCGTGCCCGTGCTCTCCGACAACTACGCGTACCTGCTCATCGACCCCTCCAACCGTACCGTCACCCACCCCATTCACCCATTCACCCATTCACCTCTTTCTCCTCTCTAACCACCCACCCACCCACCCACCCACTTCCCCGTTGCTTTAGGTGTGGCAGCGGCAGTGGATCCCGTGGACGCCGCGAAGGTCTACGCCCGCGCCAAGGAGCTGCAAGTGACCATCTCCACGATCCTGACCACCCACTCGCACTGGGACCACACGGGTGGCAACAACGACCTCCGTGGGCTCATCCAGCAGAAGGAGAACCGTGAAATTCCGGTGGTCGGGGGCCGGGGCAACGCCGTGGAAGCCCAGAGCCAGACTGTGACCGACGGAGACGTCGTCACGGTGGGGGAGCTGCAGGTGAAGGTGTACTTCACCCCGTGCCACACGCGCGACCACGTGCTGTTCCACTGCCAGGACGCGCTCTTCACGGGCGACACGCTGTTCGTGGCGGGCTGCGGCCGCTTCTTCAGCGGCAACCCGGCCGAGATGCACTACGCGCTGAACGAAGTGGTAGCGGCGCTGCCGGAGGAGACCCAGATCTACTGCGGCCACGAGTACACGGCCAGCAACCTGAGGTTCGCGGCCCACGTGGAGCCGGAGAACGAGGTCGTGCAGAAGAAGTTGGCCTGGGCCGTTGAGAAGACGAAGGCGGGGGAGCCCACCATCCCGTCCACGGTCAAGGAAGAGCTGGCCAAGTGGAACGCGGTCTGTATGCGATTGTCAGTCGATTTCTCCGCCTCCGCGCCTGTCTTGTGAATTTAACGCCTGGAAGCTGTGTAAATGATTTTTTTTCTCCTTCTGCTTCGATTTACTTTCCCACCACGCCATCAGCATTGAGAAAGGTTTACAGGCGGTCGCTTGCCACTCAAAACTAAACGAAACTGAGTCGCCATTGGATTCGACGCTCTGAGTTAGGGCTGTCTAGTGACGTGTCGATACCCGGTAACACATTGGGGTGCTTACACTATCGCTGCAGATCCAGACTTCTCACAGGTGCTTAATTGAGCCAACTTTCACCTCGATTACGATGATGCCCAGCTTACGTGGTTGTCAATGATCCCCCTCGACCTCCGCGGATACAAACGATTCGTGGAATCGCACCGACAAGCAATGCTCACCGTCAATGAACAGCGAATGTCTCGACCTTCTTCGAATTCACGGCCTTCCCAAGACCGACTTCAGTCAGTCGGCGACTGCAACGGCGATTATATCTTCAGGTTTTGCGGGAGTAGCGCCGCTATCGTGACGGGCCGTGCTTCCAGCTCCTTTGCGATGTTCCCCGCTGACGAACACGTGGGTGGCGCTATCACTGTTGCCACCTATCACGATGAGGCTGATCGGAAGTAGTAACGTGAATTGATCGAGTCGCATACTGCGAGTCCGCAATGAAGGGTTGGCAGTCTGAGGCGTTTGGAGTCGACAGAGAAATGAGCGGTGTCTGGAGCTCCACACTCCTCCGGTTTGCTGATTTTCTCGTATGCAAGAAGCCGTCGGCATTGGGAAGTTGAAGGAGCTCGTTGATGGAAACCTGGACCCTGGTGCGCTAAAGGCGTTTCTGGAGAAGAACTCGATCACGTTTTCCAAGAGCGACTACGCGCGAATCATGAGCAAGACCACAACGGGAGAGTGCGGCGTTGTTGCATTTAGCATCCTGTTTGCGTTAGTGACGGTGGTTCGGGTCACGGTACTTGGCGCTGCAGGTATAGGATATTCGATGACGAAAGCGAGACAAGCCTTTGGATAATCGTCTACTGTATCGGAATCGGAGGAACGTAAAGCCCGCCGGCTCACACTACGATATGCTACAGTAGTAGCAGTTATTTGGAATACGATGCTGCTTCTGCGTATATGTTCTCATTGATTCACTTTGTCTGCAAACTACGCACGTCATGGGAAACGCACCTTCGAATGATATACTATCTTCAAAGTATTTTGCTGAGTTCTCAATCGACCTTCAGCTTCTTAAGGATTTCACACCAGTTTCGGAGGCACACTCATGTATCCGTTCCAACTCGGGTTGCTACTCTTTCTCCGACATCGCGGAATTCGGCGATCGACACAGTACACACCTACGATAAAACTCAATGAAAAATGTTCAGAAGTGAAGCGAAGAATTCCGCGACGCAAGACATTTTCATAGGGCAATTGTGTTGACCTCTCCTTCCAAGCTCTAGCCCGCGGCAAGCATTTCTCATTGGGGCCGCTCGCCGCGCTATCGATCTGATCTCTGACTTATCGTCCGGAAAACCATCTATCCTCCGGATGACTTGCATACCCGAAGTCGGTCTTTTTGGGAAGACCATGAACCTGAAGGAGCTCGGTGCATTTTTGGGCGGGAATCCGTCGATTTCGGCAAGGCGAAGGAGTTTGTTGGCTAGAGGCTCGACCGCAGCACACTGAAGGCATTTTGAAAAAGAACCCAATGAAGCGCGGCTGCAGCGAAATCGTGAGCAAGACTCCTACGGAAGCAAAACGGCACACTGTTGCTGAACTCCTTGTATTTTCAACGATAGCTGTACGTTCTCGGCAACAATCAGTTCTTGTTGAAGCGGTTAGTAAGCTTGCCATCTTCAACTTAAACCCCGCCGCATCTCATGTCGTGCGCGTTCGTTCATTTACTGACTGCCTCGTCGCTCCTTCCTCCTTCGTCCGCCCTGGCAGCCTCTTTCGTCATTCACAAACTACATTTACGGTGACATTATGGAGCTGCTGTAGGGCACGAGCAGCCGTTCTCGACAAACACTGGCGGCCCCAAAGCGTTTTTCTTCTTTTGAGTTGCTGGGAAAGTTCTGAGACTTTCAGATCGATCGATTGATTGATTAATACGAACCGTGTTTCCTTACCCTCTGCTCATTCTTCATTTTGCAGTCGCCCACCACAAACAATGCGGTCTAAGAGACACCTCGACACCAGCGCTCTTCCTTTCGACACCCCTCTCGTAATAATGACTACCGAGAATGAACTCCTTAGAGAGGAATGTGAGATGCCCATGTTTGTTGAGCTTCAGCGAGCGGAACGTGGAATGTTTCTCATTCGGAGCGCCACTAGTCGAGACAAATACCTGGATCAAATGGGGAACTGCTTTCGAGAGCGCCAATATGCCAACGAGTTCGTGGCGAAGCTTCAAGATGGCGAAGAAATTACCTTCGAAGACAGTAGTGGCGGCTCGGCGCTCAAATTAAGCTTCGGACGTTGCCGTTTTGGGTCAAATAATGGTATGCCGAGTAAGAGGTGGCTCCTAATGACCCTGTTTCAGCTGAAACACTAGTGTCTCGCCCCCTGCGTCCGATCTGCAGCGTGTTGTTGCTGCAGGTACAGTCGATTCAGCAGCCCGACGACAGCTGATCGTCAAGTTCTCCAAGAGCGGCAAGTCGAGTGATGGAATTAGCAAGATCCTCACACTGCTGTACGGCACGGCGACTCCTCCTAGGAATCTGGCCAAGACGGACGCGATGAAGCTCGAGCGTCGACGGCAGATACTGATGCTAGTTGAATCGGGTAAGCCCACGAAGGCGGTTGGTGATATAATCCAGCTGATGTATGGCACGGAGAACGAGGAGGAACCGGATTTCAAGGTGAAAAGGGAGGTCGCCTAATAGTCGAAAAGGTAGGGAAGGATCTACCGGTTTTTGTTTTTGCATTGAAGCAATTGCATTATTATTTTTCTGGCAAACCTCGTCCCCATCTAATATCTCGAATCGAGGCATTACGTGGGCAGTGCCCTGGCTAAAGAGTTGAAAGCTGGAATTCTTGATGTTGATGGGCGATGGATGGGTGGATAGTGCTTACTCTAAGAAAAATCAAAACCATTCCCAATTTTTTTACTCAAGCGAACGCACCCATGGTCGAGCCTTTTGATGCCAAGGCGCTCCCGCTTGCGGTTCCTCTGGTGATGGCGACTTCGTTTCGTGTCACCTTGCGCACTCCCAGTCCCGGTGTTTCCTTTGTCGAGCTCTATCGCAATGGCGATGAGACGATCAGCATTCGAAACGCCAAGAACAAGAGCGAGCACCTCGTACTGAGCTCGTATTCCCAGTGCGTCTTTGGAAGCCTCGAAGATGCGCTCAAGTTCAAGATGAAGATGTCTCCAGCTGGACTTTTCGTGTTTGAGGAAGCTGCGACAGGAAATGCGCTCGAGATTGAGTACCAAGGACGTGTGAGGCTCGTCGTGTGCCGCAACAAGTATCAGATGGAGACGCAGTCTTGGTACCTGCTGCAACAGCACACGCTCGGCTCGACTGTCTCGCAGCCGTGTACTTCTACCGACCCGCTAAGCTTGGCTGAAGCATCTGAAGACGAGATGGGAGGGCGACGCCAACTCGTAATGCATTTACTGGACTCTGGGAAGGCCGCCAAGGACGTCGGCGACATCCTGACGCTCATGTACGGCTCGCCCCAACCTTTCAAGACTGAAGTCGCCACGGAAGAATTGTGTGCTGAGCGCCGACAGCTCATTGTGAAGCTTGTCGAGTCGGGCAAGTCGGCGAAGGAAGTTGGCAAGATACTGGTGCTGATGTACGGCTCGACTGCACCTCTCCAAGAGTAGGAGAACAGTTCTTCTCCAGCCTTTTTCTTTTGTGAACGTTAATCGTAACCATCGCGGGGTTCGTCATTCGTTATTGGTATTCGATGGAGCTGAAGAAACACAAAACAACTATAGTGATTGGAATGAGTGGAGCATTCACTGCAAGATCCTCTACTTCGTGAGCAGATGCGGAGCGACTCGTTCGAGGTACTTCTGATATTCCTGGAAGATTCTCCTGTACGTGGGTAGGTTGTCGACGTCCAGCGCATTGTAGACTTGTTCGTCCGTCAATTTCAGTTTTCTTACCCACTTCCAGAAAGAATCGTCACGTAGGACTGCACTGCTCATCATATCGTCGAGAATTTTCATGTTGATTGTCCGCGCTTCGTCGTCTTCATCAGCGCCTTTGTGGGCCCTCAGGAACAGCTTGCCAGCCTTCTCGCTGGACCCGAACGTGCAAACTTCATCTAGTAGCACAAGCTGCGAGGTTCCAGGCTGATCATGTGACGTGGCGGCAAGTGATTCAACTCCCGCGAAGAGGGCAGCGGAACTCGAGAAGGATGACAACGGAGTGGCGTATTGTGTGCTTGGTGCTTTGGGGGTACGCGGCTTGCCGGCTTGATGACGAAAAAGCAAATGCCCAAGTGAGTGTAACACAGGCGCAGCTTGCATGCACATCCGTGAACAGCTTCACAAATTTCAACAACCAAGCTCCCTGAAGTTTATACTCATGCGCAATCATTTTGGCCTGGTATCACTAGCTAGTCGTATGCAGCGTTACGTTTTATGGAGCACCCTTGGCTCGAATGATGATTTCATAGGTACGTGCGCTTGTTGCGCGGCAGATTACACTCTTTGCCTTCGACCACTATACTTAAGTCCGTCTCCAGCCAACAAACATCGTCGTCGGTGATTCAAGACCCGTCCGAGGCGCTGCAGCTCAACGACAAGTCAAAATGGCGCGCTGCAGCTTGTTCGAAACTGTTTCAGCCAATTGTCGCGCTCGATTGTTGGGTTCGGCTCGTATGGATCGCTCTACGTGAAGCGTTGGACGGAAGCCACTCGAACTACTTCACTTACTAACATTTGGACTCAATAAAATTGCTCACATTCAGGGAATCTGACAATTTGGTAGGGCGAAACGCAAGAAGACTAAAGTGACCCAATGCTGCACAGCGATGAAGACTTAGGTTTCGAATGTTGAACGTAGGACAGTGCTTGGAATGCCATTCGCCTTGTGCTTGGTATTAATAGCAATAGAGAATAGCAATCAAGTATGGTAAAGGGACTTGCAAATGCTAGATAGTGGTTAAAACGAGGATACCGACGCTACGCCCGCTCCATCGACTAAACCCTTCCTCACAATTTCGATCGGAATATCGGCAGGAAGACGAGCATTGATTTCCAGTAATAATGATGCGGCAGATGTAGCTGCCACCGCGTAAACCGTGGATAGTGGGGTTCAACGGACCTGTGTTGGCAATCGCATCGACCAAAGTCGTCATCGCGACGCGCGTGTTCGGGAAAATGAGTGGCGACGGCGCGTCGCCATCCGAGTCCTCTTCCGACAGTGGGGACAGGCAGCACAGGTGGAGCCCCATTCACGAAGTCGGTCGTGAGAATCGGTTGGATGTAGCTCAAGAGGCTTTCGATCTCCACTTGACTATCGCCAACAAGCTCAATCGGCGTGGCCAGCGGCGTCCTGTAGTGCGTTGCCGCTGGTCCAAAGAAGGAGTCAACTATAGGAGGCGCCCTGGCATGAGTACAGGCCCATTCGCGGTGGATGTACCATGCGGCGTTGTCACGTCGCCAAGGCGAATGATGACAATCCCTTCGCCTCTGATCCTTTCAAGCTCAACACCGGTGGCTTCAATTGCCTCGACGAGGGTTGACTCGCAGCGGGATCTCCTTGTTTAATCAGTCTTGGTATCCGTTTTGACTGTCACGGAATTACACTTTCTTAAACGCTGAAGAGAAGTGCTTAACTACTCGCGTAGGTGGTCCCAAAACTTTGCGCGCTTAGCAAACTACATGAATTCCTCGCTATAGGGACCGCCCGCCAATTTTTTCAAATTGAAAAGCTATCCGCGCAAGCGCCATACCGAGTCACACACTTGTCAGTTCTGCGTCGTAGCTCACAATGAACAGCTTTTCATATTCTGCCAGATCTGAAGCGATTAACTCCCGTCCTTCAGGCGAATCCAGTCGAAAGTCGATCAAGCAGTAATCGGCCAGCTTGAGCGCGGTTGCGTTCATCCAGATTGTCGCTTTGCCGCAGCAGCTCGATGCCCCAAGTCTCATCCCCACCTTGAACCAAGAATGGTGTGTTTTCCGCTGGAGTGCGGAAGAGAAGTTTTCTGGAATGGTGCTACTGACTACGTGCCACTGAGCACCTTCAAATACCCGAGGAGTTTCAAGTGACGAAACTAGAGTTGGCACTAGATAGATAAGACCGGTGGGGGCAGCCATTCGCGAATTTGCGCTCAAGCCGACCAGTTCAACCTTCTAAGTTTAACGTTCCAGCCACTCCGATGGCCCCTCCGCCGACGCTTCAGTCCGTGTAGTACGTGCTGCTGCTACCTGAACTCCTCGATCAAGGCATTCAAGAACCGCAGTACGCCAAGGTCACTCGTCGAATGCGGTCTGGCGTCACGCTGTGTGGCGTTGGAAGTGAGCGCGAGCGCAAGTAGAAAATCACCATCGAGCAGGCGCTGGCTTGGGCAGTTTCAGAAGACGAAGTAGAGACGAACCCTTCTCCACTCATCCGCTCTCCTCTGGTGATTATCGACGATGACCACTTCATCCATTGTCAAGTGGCTGCGTGCGACGGCGATGGAGCTGTGGTAAACACGGTTGGGGGAATTCATCGTGTACCCCAATCCAGTGTCGTCAGATCGGCCCCCGTCGTCACTATTCTGCTTCGAAACCTGTCGTTTGCCGCAGAAGATTGGAGCCTACCCGAAATCACTGACCTCCATCAGAAGCTATTAGATCGCGTACTGGGCACCAACGGCGCCACCGCTTCCAACGACGTCCAGCAAATAATGCACGGTATCATCGACGATGCCATGAGACCCTCGGCAGACGAGATTGTGACGTGGATCAACCCACTGTCTGGACAGGAAGTTGCTTTTCCTGTTCAACATGCCGTCGGTTATGCTTTCTACAAGGATGGCGGAGTGGAGCCAACTCCAGATTCGGTAGGGTCCTCATTCGGCACACCTCCGACAGCATCCAACCAGCGTCAGGTGACCGAAACTACAAGGACGGCACGCAGGATCTCCCTCCTTAACCCCAGTAGAGTCTCCACCCGTACGGAAGCAAGTGCCATGTTCGACACACAAGACGATGATGACGACGTTCTTGAAGAAATTGAAGTCGGCGCTTCGACGGATGGACCCAATCACGAGGTGCAGTAGTTCGTGCCTCCTCCTCCGAGCAAACGAGCTCGAACGAAACTGTCTGTCGCACAGCAGCAACACAGTGGAGAGATTCTAGCTGCCCTCGCGTCCCAGCCCCGCCTGCAGCGTATCTTCGCGGAGAACTATCTGCCCGACTCCTCAGTTGTAGCAAGAACATCCACGAAGGCACCAACTACTTCTACGACAACCCTAGGATCAAGTGGCATGCGATTGAACTCAGCACAAGGTGAAGCAGCGCTGCATTTCAATGTCAGCAACGCAAGTGTTCCTACTTCATCACAGATCCAGGTTCATGAAGCGGTCGCTGCACCGCACCATCAAGGTACGACGTTAGAAGAATATGTGGATGGAATGATTGCTTCGGAATATTGCTTGTTTAAACCCTTGCCCGGGGTGTCTACGCGAGTCCGTGATATTCAGTTCGGCAAGCGAGGACTGTCGGTGATGCACTTCCAGCCTCTCGCATTCGATGATAAAGTGGCACGGTACATGAATGGAGGATCTAATTTTCAGAATCTGAGTTCTTCGACGGCGATTCCCAAAGCCCCGCAACCAAAGGATGTTCATGAAGTGGTGGCTGCGTGTCAAATACTGGAGCTTTTTGCTAGCGACTACTTCTCTGCCGACCTGAAGGCTTCTATCACGGCGCTAGTTGCGCTAGTTACAGGTCTCGCGCGGTCGCATGTGTGGGAGGCCGACGACCTACCGCTTCTCGTCTATTGGATCAACGTCACGCTGGAGGAGTATCGAACGCAAATAAGCCAAGCAACGTTGGTACCTGGTGAATTCAAGAAAACGTTTTCGCTGGAGAACAGCAGCCTTCAACACATCCTACAAACGGTGTCTTCCCGACAGCTTCAGCGGCTTCGCAATGAAATCACGCAGTCGAGTCGAGCTCCAAGGCGCGGTCAAGAACAGCTCAACAATGATTATGCAGCCAAACAGGTCGCCCCACTGACGAAAGGTTTGGAGAAGCTAATTCCGCACCAAGAAGGCACACAACTATGCCTTCGATACCTGTCGGTGAAAGGCTGCCGCTCAACGCCAACCGTCCCATGTTTTTCGGGAAGAGCCCACTTCGATCCTGAGTCGGTGCACCCTCGACTTAAGGCTCTGATCAAGAAACGTTTTGGCGGGCTCAAGGCCAAGTACTCGTCGCTCTGAAGAGGCCCGGGCGATCATTGGGCAGGGTCGTCGGGCAGACAGCGGCGATACACCGTGCCTACGCAGACGCAAAATGCAGCTATACAACTGGCGTCGAGCTCCGTCAAAGTAAACATCAAGCGCCAGCTACTGGGTCAGCCTTCGCATCCCCAGACATACCCGCTGGTCCCTCCGTCAAATACGGCACGTTTTTCCAAGAGCCAGCTGCTCTCCGAACCTCCAAGATCGGATCTCAACACGTTGGTCCCTCCACCGGTCAACGCCGTGGCAGGTCAACCTTTCACGTCGCCTTCTACAACATACTACCATGCAGCAGACTATTGGCATTTCAAACTATCCAAATTCAGCGAAGAATTTATTCGTCAGTGCCTTGAATCTGATCTGCTCCATGAGGAAGTCGTGATAAGTACCCATTTACACCGTCAAGGTTTTCGTCGAGATCGTTCTCCCACCGGCTTGGATACCTTGGCACAACGCACGCTGACTGAGATTTGCCAAGCACAACGACTTGACGTGGCGTCGGCTGCGCGCCTCGTACGTGGTGAACGCCCTACAGACCCACGACCAAACAAAGCCGTGCGTCCGCAAGATATTGCGTTGCTACTAGACGGCTATGAACATCGGGATGTGGTGCTAGCAATAATGGAGCGCGGCATCGAGCCTAAGTGGCTACGCCCTCCACCACCCGCTCGACCCGTTAAGAACCACAAGTCTTGTCAAAAGCATCTCTTGGCAGTCATTCGCAGTATTCGAGACGGTCAAAACAACGGACGATATATGATCGTCGATGACGCATTATTAGAGCAGTGGTCAAATGTGGCAGCCCCCTTGGTGTAGTCGAGAAGAAATACATCGATCCAGCCATTGAAGTGCGTCTCATACACGACCTCAGTTTTCCTGAAAATATTTCGACGAATGCAAGTTTCGACAAAACTTCCGCTCCTGAGATTCGATACCACTACATCGTGGCCATAGCTGATCGAATTGAAGATCTCATCACGCGATACCCTCAGGGTGTGATACGAATACTGAAAGGTGACGTGAAGGGTGCGTATCGACACCTCATGGTAGCTTCACAGCATGTGCATTGGATGGCAGCTCGAATTCCAGAAGCAAAAGCCTTATTGATACGGTTCGGCCAGTGAAGACAACGAAGCGTTCTGGGGGTTCGAGTGGGTCGACGATCACCTTCTCATCGAAGTTGATACGGAGGACCGGTTGCAGTTAGCAGAAGCAACCCTTCGACACGCAATGCTGCCATTCTTGGCCCTCGTGCAATCAACGAAGAAAAATTTTCACAGTGGGAAACACGGCTTAATGCACTTGGCCTAACGTGGGATACTGCCAACCGTCCCGTGTCGATGCCCGCTGACATGATTGTCAAGGCGTGCGCAAACTGAAACAATCAAAAACAGTGACGAAATCTGACCTGCTAAAACTTCTCGGAAGTTTACGCCACGTTTGTAGTTGTCTTCGGACTGCCCGGTCATTCTTCCAGCATCTGCAGTCTTTGTACAATCAAGCTCCCCGGCATGGCGCAGTAAAACTTTCAGCAGGAGCAAAAACCGATCTCGACTGGTTTGAGCGCATACTGAGTGTCGGGCATCTACAAGAATTACCACCGTCAATTTTCGGCAGCCGTGAACCGACAGCTCAGCTGCATCTGTACATGGACGCCTCCGACATGGGCCTCGTAGTGCTAAACCCGTCGGCCAATGAATTTATCCAAATTGCTTTCGACTCCGAAGAAACAAAGAAGATCATGGCGGATTCAAAATCAAACAAGTTTTCGATAAATGTTAGAAAGCAGATGTGCATCGCACTCGCACTCTGGATCTGGGGGTCAACATGGACGTCGTTGGATCCAGATCGCACCGTAGTCGTGAAATGCTGGAGTGACAACCGAGCCGCGGTGGCATGGAGCAACTCGCTTGCGAGCACCAACGAGCTTAGCCAGGAAGTCAATCGCGCGATAGGTCTCGCCGAAGCATTATTCAACGTTCGAGTAATTGCATCGCATCTACCAGGATCGACGAACATCGCCGCGGACGCGGCATCTCGGGCATGGATTCTCCCTTTTCGGAAATTTGGACTACTTTTTCTTCATCATGGAAACAGGTTCCAGTGCCCAAGGCCTTGAGGAAGCTCTATCAAACCTTCTCCAAGACCTTCAATCCCAATCACTGGCCCTGTCGCCCCGCGTTAAGTACGCAACAACTTGGCATCAATGGCAGGAGTGGTGCAACATGCTCGGGTTCTCCATTTGGTTGCCACCTCAAACAGAGTTGCACTCGTATCAACTTGCACTCTTCGGCGTGCACTGCTGGAAATTCGGGTGGAATTACGAGAACAAAGGAAACGCTACCTCTACCGTCGTCTCCAAAATCAGCCACATTGCGTGGCATCATCGTCGCGTGCTGGGGTACTCAGTTCAGCTCTCGGACGGACACAAACTCGCGCTCAACGGAATGCGCCGCCAGACGCCAAATCATCAAGAAAGTCTCCGGTCACAGTCGCTCTATTACGAATCATGCACAAGTCCCTTGACTTCAGCCAACCCGCCACCGCGTTATCTGGGAGGCTGCGGTCTTGGGGGTTTTCCTTCTACTCCGCCGTTCCGAATATCTAGCTGTCGGGAAAAAGGTTTACGAGTTCATCCTGACTCGCGCAGACATCTCGTTCACCGACAAGAATGGCAAGGCCTGTAGCACGTTTGACAAGATCGCGGAAGTTGCTGTTATATTTCGGGGTGGAAAGAACGATCAATACAAGCAAGGCACCACCCGGTCAATAGGACGCTCGGGATCCAACTGGCTCTGCCCAGTTCACGCTACATGGTTCTTGGCTGAACATCACCGTGAACTTCAGCTACCAGCCACAGAACCGCTCTGCACAATCACTTCGGGCTAAATTGTACAAGTCCGTGACATTTCGCAGGTAATCAAGGCAGCAGCCGTCGCCGCTGATGAACCGCCTCAGCACTTCGGCACTCACTCCTTACGCAGTGGTGGGGCATCGGCACTGTTCGCAGCTGGTGTCGACAGCATAGCTGTGAAGCAATTTGGGCGGTGGAGATCGGACGCGTTTGAGCGATACATTCGCTTGAATAACCATCAGACATCAACTATGGCGCGGGCAATACTCAATCCGATGTTAGCAGCGGCAAACTCCAATGGGCAACCTCCTCAAACCAGAGGCGCCGCTGCTAATACATCTCTTTGAGGTGCTGCCGCTGTGCAGCACTCCCCCAGTAGCCCAGGACAGAAAATCAATAAAGCCCGGTGAGCCGAAGTTGGCGCCAAAGTCTGCTACCGTCACGAATATGCCACTCGGTGTGCAGCAATACGCCGCGCTGTAAAACACTCTCTGCCAGGCACTCTCGACTAGATCGTCAGTGGCCAACCTCCTTCCAATTGTGAGGGGGAAATTCGCGTAGTCAATGAACCTGAACGCGTCCAGCACCTAATCCTGCAGTGTTGGCGGTCGCACTGGAGTACGTTGGATGCGACCGATGCACCGGCTCGAAACGCATCGCCGCATGGCAACACACGAAAACTCACTCTTCCCTTCCACCTTCCCGACGAGAATATACACTTCTTGACAATGGCGTTGACCGGTCAACGGTTCCATCAATTGCAAGCCTGTTTAGTACTTGTATTTCTTCCGTTGACAGAGAATTTAGCCCTTGTCACACTGCTGTTGAGAGATCGATAGCTTCAAACGCTGGATCGTAACCGGTGGCGTGATTTACGTGCGATAAAGCTTGCTCCATCGAGCGAATCCAGGTCTCAGCAGTCGGAAGCATCGAGTCGCTCTTGTGGGCGGATAGAAACCTTTCGTTTAATCTCTGGATCGCTGCCACGCAGAAGCCAATGTGACCACCAGTAAGTTGCGCGATACACGACAGGAATCGCTGCAGACCTTTGCCTTGAAGACTCGCACGGTCGTGAAAGAACTTGTCCACTAACTGCTCAATTTCGACCGGCTTGAAGTTCAATTCCTTGATTCCAAGCATCAGTTCGTGCGGGATATCAACCGGAATCGACAGGAGGTCGTACGCGGGGGTGCCTCCGTAAGTTGCAATCATCAGGACGCGGATGTTGCACTCGGGATTATTGAGAGGTTTCTGCACCAGCTCCCAGAACGTGTTGAAACATTTGTATGGGGTCCAAACATCTTTCCGGTAAAGGATTTGAACCTCATCCACCACGAAGTAAACGGTATATCCCTTCGATGCCCGTCGCTTGACGCTGTCATAGGACAGGTTGCACTATTGCTGTAGCACGGTGTCGAATTCCGCCTCCTTTGACGCCTCAAACACCGAGAAGCCCACAGCCACATCCTTTCTCTGTTGGAAGGTCGTTGGCGAGGAAGGTTGCGGCGAGCGAAGCGAAGTAGGGTAGGAGAGAGGACTTGTGCCCGAAGAGAAGAAATGAAAAGTGATTGAGCAGGGCTTAGCGATACTAGGAAAATCCAAACGAGCTGCAGCGTGCCTGCGCTCTGCTACATGTACCCAAGAGCGTCCTTGGTGACTCTGCTGCCAAGCTGGTAGTCTCTCGCATCTCACATGATGCCCCTAGACATTGGCTTAGATGATGCCGCGAGTCGGTGTCTGATCTTCAACAGCCCACGGCTGGCACTGCAACTCAGTTGAAGCTCTCGACACTACGAATCGTGTTCGACGCCACTGCGTCAGCGCCCAACATTCTCTTCTGCTCCCGCGCTCTCTTCGCCACCCCATCGCATACCAACTTCGTCAACTAGGCTTGTGAGCAGCACAACACAACGTCGGTCGAGTAGATCGATCAGCTTCGTGGTTAACGGCTCCGTAAGTTAATGTCAATCTCTGACCAATATTTTTCAATACGGTTCTGGGCCAAGATGGCATCTCGCAATGACGGATTGATTGATAGTGAGAACTAACTGCAGTCGGCCATACAAGGACATGCATAGAGCAAGAAGAGATAAATGTTTTCTTATGTTTAATTTTCGATCGGGGTGGCGTCCTGCATTCGGACTTGAGATTACCCAACATCTCGACGCATAGAGAGCCTGCAAAGCTGGGCGATGGCAATATTTTGTCCTCTTGAGCCGGCGACGCCCCGAGAGTTACGTCTTTCGGGTCAGCTATCATAGCGGAGCTCCTGGTGTATCGGCTTGATAGTGCCGCCTCCGCGTTGTCAGCACGTTTCCGTTTGCTGACAGTATTCTTCTTTGCACTCAAAGGTGGCTGGTCAGCACAGCTTCCGGCATGGCATCATGTCCAAGAGACGGGTTCTTTTGGAACTCCAACTCAAATGAAATCTGATAATCAGGGGAGGTGGGGGCCATCACGACCACAAAATGGATGTAGTTGTCAGCCCTCAGCCCTTATCGGATTGCTCTTGTGCAAGGAAGTTGTGGCGTCTCGAGCAACAGAAGCCTGAATTGCCGACGCAACCTTTGCCTTTACCGCCACCTGACTCTCGTCAAAAACAAATCTCGGATTCCCGCCTCACTTCGAAAACCTGGACTCCAATTCGTCATCTGGCAGTCTTTGTGCCTCATCCAAGATCGAATTACACGCCCGTAACTCGGCCAGTGTCCACATGGGGCAGATAAATGACATCGAGTTCAGGCCTTTTGTGTAATCGCTTAGTTCGTCGAGCGCTGGCGACGTGAAAAGAATCGACACACCGTTCCAGCCAACAAGCGTCGACGATCTAGCCTCCACAAAACGCAAGACATTGGCGCTGTCTTGAAGCTGTAGCACCGCCTTGCCTTCAATACTTACGAACACTTTCTCGCTCCACGAGTATGTGAGGTACCTTTCCCCGAAATTGAGCACTAAAGTGTACTTGCGCGCCTTCATCTCCTCGTCCACAAGCCCTCGAATCAATCGAAACGCGCAGTAAACGTAAAATCGGCTCTTGCCGATTCCCGGATTTCCCGTCACCACCAAGTTCTTGTCGTGATGTCCGAGCGACTGCTTGATCTCTTTCATCAGTTCACCAAAAATTGTCTGATAGCAAGGTCTTTCCAGAATTGTCGGTGAATTGGTAGCTGGGTGCGCTAGTGGTGGGAAGCCCGTCATCTTGAGGAAGCTGTATGATGTTTCTTCGCCTTCATTGGTTCCACTTACGGAGAGGTTGTCCATTTTCTCAGGGAACCAGTCGCTGGCCGGTGTACTGGAAACGTAGCCCAAATTGAGATAACTTGCGATCACATTGTTGTACTTGAGTCTTCTCTGAGTCGAAAGTACGTCAAATGTCGCCGAAGAGGAAGTTCGACCAGCACGTGGACCTCCCCATCACACGGCGTGAAGTCCGATGCAAAGTATCCAACACCCCCATGGTCACCACGAAAGAGACGACAGATGGGACTCATCTCTGCATAGCTCGTGTCAACTCCGTTCATCAAGCTGGTTCTTAGGCCGTCGGAGTGTTTCAGCCACCCTTCTGTCTCCTTCCATGCCAAGCGGAGGGTCAGGAGATGCGAGCGAGCACCAACCACGCGAGCAATCGCATCCCGAAGTTTTTCCACTCTTACGGCGCGCTCAACAACTACGGAGAACAAGCTTCCCTGTGTGAAAACGCCACAGCTGAGCCGCACCTCAGATTCAGTGTTCTTCATATCTCCGGGTATTTATCACCGGGGGAAAAGATGAAGTGAGAGGAGGTTTTACAGGAAATTAAAAAAAAACAATCAATCACTCTGGTGGAATCCGCGATTTCCTCTCAATCGACCACACCACATCACAACCAATACTTTACGGGGTCATTCACGTGCTGGTGGAGCGTCCTCGAGAAGATATTCCTGATCGGGATTCGTACGTCATGGCAGAAGTTCTCAGCAACTCGAGCGATGCTGTTGCCCTGAACAACCCGAACACGGTGAACCGGCCTGCGTTGACGTGATTCGACTCTGCAATGATACGATGACTTAGTTCAACTTGATTCGCATGCGATTTTCGGTCCTTCTTCGTGTAACTTGCGATAGTATTGGTAGATCGTTTCTAATCGCTCTAGATGTACAGTATCAGCTCGTTTTTACCGACAAGGGAACACTTGTTTAGCGGCTCTACTTTCAATATTGCCGATAATCATGTGGGGTCGGGAATCAATAATCATCTCGCAAAATTGGAGGAACAAATTGGTGTCCACGTCCTTCGTCATCGTCATCATCGTCACTCCAGGCATCTTCATCACCAACAGCAGCACCAGCAACGCCATCTGATTCACCCCTCTGAGCATAGTCCTCGTCGGTATCGTCTTCCAGCATCCCAGGATATAAATTCACAGGCGGAGGCTTCCACTTCATAATGAGTCCATCTTCCCCTGCAGAGTAGAGCTCTCGAGTCGTTTTCCGATAAACGCAGGCCGTAACTTGCTCATAGTGAGCGGTGGCATTTCCCACAGGTTTGCCACTGTCTCCAAAGACGCGATACGAAGACAGTGCCCCCTCCTGTCCGTTCGGGACGAACACCAGTGTGCTCTCCCACGCCCCTGCTTCCTGAGCAACCGCTATTTGCACATTCCTCGCAGCGCGCGGTTGCGTTCTCCTCACCCCTTCGTAGTTCATGAACTGGTGCTCGCCCGTCGTCGCGTTCCACAGCCTCAGCTTCTCATCCATGCCACTACTCAGCAAGAACCTCCCATCGGGGGTGTAGGCCAGACTCGTCACTCCTCCGTTGTGTGCCACCGCCAACGACGCACTCGCAGCCGCGTGGGGATCATTCCGTTTCTGTCCACTCACGGTAATTTTCATCCTCTCGTTGTGTTTCTCCACTCTCGTCCTTGCTCGCTCCCGATCTCTCGCCTGAGCTTCCGACGCTCCGCCGACACGTCGTCGTTTCCTTGCAGTTGCCGTCATTGACAACGAAGATGGTTTTTCCCTCTTCACATTCGTGTACAAACTCGACCTTCCCGGTACACTCGCCCTTCCCTCGTGGTTTAAACACAACAAACACGCTGTTGCACCGGATCGTCGGATATCCCAAAGCCGAATTTCGCCATCTCGGGACCCGGACGCAAGTAAAAATTCATTTGCAGGAGACCACTCCAGCGTCCAAACTTCGTCTTTGTGTCCCAATAAACTGTGCGCTGTGGCCCCACTCTCCATATCCACGAGTCGAACTTCCCCTTTTCCCGTTGCAGCGGCAATCAGAGCGTGACTGGTGCCCACGGGGGAGAACTTGGCGCCGAAAACTTTACTGCGTAACGGCAACGTACTGACGCAGGAGAAAGTTTCCGAGTCCCAAACTTTCACATGTTCGTCCAAAGAGCTGGAGATGCACAGCCCGGCGTCCACGGGGTACCAGTCCACCATGGAGATGCCGAAAGTTAGGGACTGGGTGGTGGCACTTTGGGTTTTGGCCCCCACGCAACATACTGGGTCCAGTATGTTTGTGGTGTTAAAGGGATTAGGGTTACTTGGAAAATCGGCTTCGTCTAGGGTTAGGAGGTCGAAAAGCAAAAGTTGCGACTGCGAGGTGCCAACCAGCAGGTACCGCTGCTCCATCGGGTCCAGCGAGAGGCTCCAGACGCGCATGCCCCGGCGGAAAATGAAGTTGCCAGAGGACGGCGCGTGCCTCAGCAGCTCGGCCGACTGGCGCGCGTGAAGGTTGTCTCGGTAGTCGCGCGTGGGCAGCCCCACGCTGCGGTCCAGCAGGTACCCGAAGGCCGACATGGAGAGCAATGGCAAAAATATTAATAAGTTCGAGAGGTTGTCATAATCTGTTTGCAAGGGACCACGCAAACAGCCTACTTTGTACCTATGATGAGGCATATTCAACCACTCATCTTTTAGCAAGAGACCTTGCTGACGTACTTGGGTCTCATTTGGAATTCTTGCCGCGGTTAACACTAGCCTAACCATGCTCGCGTCAAAAGTTGATCGTCTGCTGCAGGTTGTTGCAGCCCGAGGGGCGCAGCCTGCGTCGCTGCCGGGCAAGTGTCTGCCCGTGAACAACGTGGTGGCCTTCTCCGGGGGCGTGGACTCATCGCTGGCGGCGGCGCTGGTGTTCCGCGTGTTCCCGGCCACGAGCGCCGCGTGCATCGGCAGATCCGCCGCGTTGTCGACGGTGCAACTGCAACAGGCGAGGCAAGTTGCCGCGCACATTGGCGTCCCGTTGTGGGAGTGCCGGACGCAAGAGGCCAAGCTGGAGGGCTACGTGTCAAACAAGGGCAAAAGTTGCTACTATTGCAAGACCACGCTCTACTCAACGCTGAACCAAGTGGCGGAATTTGCGTGGCAAGAAATGCAACAGTTGCAAATGGAGGCAAGAGGGGAGATGGGCGACGAGAAGGTCAAGCCCGTGCTGTATAATGGCACGAACGCGGACGACCAATTGGACCCCACGAGAGTTGGTAAGTTTTTGCATTTTTTTCTTGGGGGGTCTCAAATATTTATTTTGCATCGTTATTGTTGTTTAGGGTTGGTGGCTGCGTCGGAGTTTGACGTCGTGAGTCCGTTGAGTGGGCTCACGAAGCAGGAGGTGCGGGATGTGGCCAAGTACTTGGGGCTGCCCAACTGGAACGCAGCTGCGTCGCCGTGCTTGAGGTCGAGGCTGCAATTTGGAGTGGAGGCGACTCAGGTGAAAAACAGCGTGGATAATGGGTCTTGAAAAAAAAAATGCGGCTGACGTTGGTGTTTTTTGTTTTGTTTTCAGCAACATTTGCATCGCGTAGAGAAAGCGGAGGATTTCGTGCGTGAACTCGTCCGACTGGAGCCCCAGATGAGCATGCGTGTGCGGTTTCTCGCGGGGAATAAGGCTGCTGTCGGTGCGTGAAACAGTTTGATATGAAATTGCGCTATCCCGAGTTTTGCTTATACTGTTTTGGTGTATACAGAGCTTGATCAGGAGGCGTTGGAGAAGGCCATGCCTCAGTTTGATGCCATCGACGCAGAGCTGCGACGACTAGGTACAACACTCATCTTTCTTTGCAGTTTTATTGGCCTACTAAGATGTGTTTACAATATTGCAGGGTTTGACGCGGTGGATGTCCGTGCTTTCCGGTCGGGAAGCCTAAGCGGGTACAACCCGAATTCTGTAGTTCAGCACACCCCGGCAAAACGGGCAGAGATGGTTGAAGCTCGTGTCCTGTAAACCATCAATAGTTCTGAGGTATGCAAGGCAAGTTCACTATACTGCAATCTGTTGTAAGTGAAAAAAGAAAACTTGTTGTGTTTGGCTTAGGTTGGGACGAAAAGAAAATGCTGAAGTAAAAAAGGCCGAGTGCAAAGTGTGGCTTATGTGCAGCTCCAGACCACGCTTTAGTGCTCTACACACTCTCGTTGATTTGGCTCGAGTGCAGGCGCTCTTCACGAATCTCGCGTTCCAGTCGCTTCTTCTCCAGGAACCCGTGCCAGAGCTCACGACCACCCTTCTTCTGGTACCAAAACAATGCACAAGCAAAACCCGATGCAACAGCGGCCGCGATGATCCACCCGAAGACTTGAGCCACGGCACTGTCGGCAGTGCACATGTACACCAAGCCAAGGAGAATCCCCGGCGCGACGAGGAATAGCACCACGAGGAAGAGTACAGCGGTTAACGGCCACGACGCACTAAAGAACGCCAGTGACCGCGCCCAGCCGAGAATCGGTTTGCGAGTGATCGGGATCGGGTAGAAGAGGAAGATGCCGAACACGTTGAACCAGAAGTGAACCAGAGCGATCGCAACGGAGTCGGACTTGCCAGTCACAAGCGATGCCAGCAACGCAGTGCCAGTCGTGCCCAAGCTCGCCCCAATCACCAGCGGGTACACTTGCTCCAGTGTGATGACGCCCAAGCCAGCCATCGGCGTGAGCGTTGAGGTGACGACAGTCGACGAGTGCACAGAGAAGGTGATCAGAGTCCCCACGAAGATGTTGATGTAGCCGTTGAAGTTGAGCAGCTTGGAGATCAGCTGCTTGGTGGGACCCATGAAGACTTTAGCCAGCATCTTCACCAGCGTCAGCAGCGCGCAGACCAGGATGCAGAACCCGATGGCAACCGTGATGGCTCCGATGCTCCCGTCGCTGAGACTGGAGCCTTCGAACGCGCCTCCCTTCACGAACGACTGGCCGTCGGTACACACCGTGTCCCCCGTGGCGACCTTGTAGATGGCCTTCTTGTCCACCATGAGCAGCGTCTGGGTCAACGGGTTGACGATGGTGTCGACGGGGCTGTTGAAGGCGCCGCTGTTCGTCTTGGCGTTCGACATGGCCACCGACATCTTCTCCAGCGGGTGCAAGACGACTTCAAGCGGGAACAGGACGAACACCGACCAAATGTTGTACATGTCGTGAACCGTGGCCGCCGCCATCGCGCGTTGGAAGCGAGCGCGGTCGCCCACTTGTCCGAACGCCACCATGATGCAGGTGACGCAAGTGCCGACGTTGGCCCCCATGATCACGTACACGCCCTGGCGGATGGTCATGCCGCCGGACCCGACGAGCGCCACCACGATGGACGTCACAGTGCCGGAGCTGTGGAGTATCGCAGTCATAACAATACCGACCATGAGTCCTGATGCCGGATTGTTGACGATGTCGAAAGCACCTTTGGTGTTGCACCCTCGAGCTATTGTGAGGCCGTCGCTAATTAACTTGATACCCACGATGAAGAAGTATAGAGCGATGAGAGATGCCATCGAGTAGAAGATGCCACAAGAGATTTTCTCGGTCAATGTCCGGGCCTGATCGTGATCCTGGACGTGGTCAAGATCGTGGTCGTCCTCAGCATCACCCATTTGAACATGGTTCTCAGCAGGACCCAGGGAGTCACCCAACTTCGCTGGTAATAGCTTCTCGTTCTCGTTAGTTCTCATGGTAGGAGAACTGCTGTTGCCGGTTCGTGTTCAGTTCGGGAGTGAGGTTAGAAAATGCTCTCGATTGTCTTTGCATCGAGCTATTTTTCAGATTCGATCTCCACTTAACCACTGACTCTGGTGCAGCTCCGATGTGGTAAGCATGGTGGGCGATAAGTACAATCTCACCAGGATCAACAAGATTCGACAGCGCAAGTTGTGGTCTTTGGGCACAACTCGAGAGCACACTGTGAATGGCAAGCACTCGAGATTCGACCAAAGGACATATATAGATTATCCTTTGGTTCAAAAACTCTACAACAATTGCAATTGTGCCTGATGACACATACAGATTGAATATTTTAATAATTCTTAAAAGAAAAACGCTAAGCAATAAATAAAGAAGCTGTGAAATGCAAAGCTTGTTCAGAGGTGTTACCTGTAATCTATCTACGCCTTCAGAAGTGCCTTCGTCTCTAGTCCCTTCTTGAATGCCTTAACCACGCGTAGGTGAGCTCGGATCAGTGCAAAGCTGCGCAGCCAGAGCTGATGACCACGTCCGTTAGTCACCTCGCGTACTTCTTCGGTATCCGCATCCCGGCACATGGCCATCCAGTTGGGCGCGTTCTTCGTCGAGATGGAGCGTAGTAGCAGACCGAGAGGGAGCGAGATGAAGCCCATTCCAATGCAGGCGAACCATTGACCAACATTCAGCGGTGTGCAGTTGAACCAGTCGCCCGTAAACTGCACCATGACCACCTGCATCGCAACCTGGAGGACGCACACATAGAGGAACACACGGTTCTTGGTGATGCCCGTGAAAATGTTGACCTCATCGTGGATCTTCCTGCAGTTGAGCTCGTTGAACAGCTGCATCCACACAAACGTATTGAAGACGATCGTCATGTGCACGGTCGAGTCGTCCTTGTGGTCCTCCTCCAAGTCGTCCACGCGGCCAGAGGGAACACCGAACCACTTTTCACCAGTGAACACAATTGCCAAGAGCAGCACGAGCTGGAAAACGGATTGGCCCAGAATGTGCTTCGTCATCTTCTTGGAGATCAACGGCTGCGTCTTCGGATACGGCTTGCGCTCCAGCAGAGCCTGAGTGGGCTCCTCCGTGGCAAGTGCGAGCGACGCGAACGAGTCCATGATCAGGTTCACCCACAGCATCTGCACGGCAGACAGAGGAGACTGCTCCAAGGCGACGGCGCCGATGAAGGCGAGCATGATAGCCACGACGTTCACCGTCAGCTGGAACTGCAGGAACTTGGAGATCGAGTCGTACACGTTGCGGCCCCACTTGATCGCGTTGACAATCGAGTTGAAGTTGTCGTCCATGAGGATAATGTCCGACGCATCTTTAGAGACTGCAGTGCCGCTGATCCCCATCGCAAAGCCGACGTTGGCTTTCTTCAACGCTGGTGCGTCATTTGTGCCATCTCCAGTCACAGCCACGACCTGAGGACCGTGAGGCGTTAGGTTGCTCTGCATTAGGCCAGTAACTAGCGTGTACTTGTCCTTTGGAGACGACCGCGCGAGTACACGAAGCATCGGCCAGATCTGGTCGAACTGCGACTGAATGATGTTGCCTTGATGGTCGAGCACTTTGGAGCGGAACGTTTGTCCGTCCATGACCAAGGATCCATCGCCCGATGAGATAATGCCGCATTTTCCTGCAATGGATCGAGCAGTGGTGATGTTGTCTCCGGTCACCATACGCACTGTGATCCCAGCTCGCTTGCAGTGCTGAATGGCGTCCGGCACCTCCGGTCTCACGGGGTCTTCAATGCCCACAATGGCGACGCACGTCAGCTCCTTCTCCACGTCGTCGTCAGCCCAGTTGTTCAGCTCCTCAGCTGGCACGTCCAAGTCGCGGTACGAAAGACACAGAGTGCGATACCCCTGCGACGCGTACTTCTCAATCACAGTCGCCCCAATATCAGTCTTGCGCGCGCTACTCAGAGCCTCAATGGACCCATCCACTCGCTGAAGCTGCTCACACAGTCCAAGGACAACTTCGGTAGCGCCCTTCGTGTATACTCGGCACTTGGAAGCTCCGCGACTAACCACCACTGACATGCGCTTCTTGGCGCTGCTGAACGTCAACATGTGCACGATCTCGTTATTGGCACGAATGTCAGTGTACTCCACGCCACCGTCTCGGATGTACTGGAGCAAGGCACACTCCGTCTTGTTGCCAGTGTGTTCCGGTAGCCCGTTCTCCACCTTCGGCGGCAAGATCTCAGCGGTGGAGTTGATGGCAATACCGTGGCAAAGGGCCTCCTTCATGTCGTCACTTAGAGAGTTCATACTTTCGGCTGCGGAGGAGAATTCTGTGTCTCCAATCCAAACCTTCATGACTGTCATCCGGTTAGTCGTCAGCGTGCCAGTCTTGTCGGAACAAATAGTCGTGGCACTGCCCATCGTCTCGCACGCATCGAGGTGTCGAACGAGATTGTTATCCACCAGCATCTTCTTGACCGAGTAAGCGAGAGCGATTGTGACAGCGAGTGGGAGACCTTCGGGGATGGCCACGACGAGCACAGTGATTGCAATGATGAAGAAGCCCAAATAGTCGCTGATGTAGCCATTCTTCCAGGGTTTGTCGTCGATAGCGAACGTGTCGATGGAGAAGCGGATGGACATGATGACAAAGACCAACAGAGCCACAATAGTGCCGAGTTTGCCGATCAAAATGGTCAGGTTGTAGAGCTTCCCTTCCAATGGAGACTGGGACTCTTCATCACCACTGAAGTCATCATCTTCGTCGTCCTCCTTCCCGTCTGGAAGCTTGGGCGTGTCGATCTCCACGTAAATATCATCCGGATCCTGCTTCCCATCATCTGCACCAGACTTTGCATCCTTGGCCTCACTCTTCTTGCTCGTAGTGGTACGCGTTCCATTGATCAGACTCTTGATCACACCAGCCTGGGAGTTCTCACCGACGCAGATCACCAACATCTTGCCGAGTCCCTCCATCACTTTGGTGCCTGACAAGAGGAAGGGGTTCTCGCGGTTCTTGGTGAGCAGATCGGACTCTCCGGTCATGGCGCTCTCGTCCATCTTGAGCTCCTTCTCGTCGAACACCATGCCGTCCGCCGGGATGATGTCGCCCAGATCTACACGGACGATGTCTCCAACCAGCAGGTTCCACTTTCTCACCTCTGTCGGAGCTCCGTTGCGGATGACCTTGATCTTCTCGTCCTCCTTCACCGCGTTTAGGGACCGGAACTGCTGCTCCTTCTGGTAGTCGTTGACTGCCGTCACGAGGGCGACCACCACCACCGCCAGGATGATGCACGCTCCCTCGACCCACCCCGTCTCCTTATGGTCACCCACAGTGGAGGACAGGACGATGGAGAAGATGCCCGAAATGGTCAAGATGATGATGGTGATGTCCTGGAACGCGTCCCACATGAGCTCCAGGAAGCCCTTGGCCTTGGGCGGAGGGATGTAGTTCTTGCCGAAAAAGTCCTCGCGGTTGCGGAGGTCGGCGGCATCTTTGGCGTCTAGGCCTTGGCGGAGGTCCACCCGAAGCGCGGCTGCTACGCCGTCCAGTCCGCCGACGCTCTCGAGCTGCTCGGCGATTTTCTCGTGCGGAGTCTCGACGAGGCGGATGAGGTCGCCCGTCAAGAGCTTGAACGACATGGTCACGTGGAGACACTAGCTTGAGCTGGAAGAATGGACTAGTGGCAGGCAGAGTTACGTTCGGCTAGCTTTGCAGTGACTGAGTCGAAGTCGGCAGATTCCAAAATGAGCGACACAGCATGTTCGCAGCAAAGAAACAGACCCCCCAACGTCGCACATGTGTGGTGAAGCCACTATTCCTGGCGAGATAGATCCATAGATACGAGCCCGGAAAATCCATCGCATGGCTTGAAGTGCCAAGAGCAGGAGAGGTGAGGATTGGATCGGACCAGCAGGATACCGTCCAGCTTGGAGTCTAGAAGTGTACGCTGAATGATGCTGACTCAAGAAGGTATAGGGAGCGATTAAAAAGTCAGGTTTCGACTAAATTGGCGGTACATTACAGCACCACGAGCCATCCTTAAAGCTTTATCGCAGAGTTGCTTTCAGTTAGCTCGATGCGACTACGACCGCGACGCCACGAACTCGGGAGATTCTGCCAGTATACGATCCACGATAACTTTGAACCTTTGCGAAGCGGTCCAGTAGCGTGCGGTAATTTATCTGCTGAGACCGGCGCGATGTTCCACGTAGACACAGAAGTGAATCTTCAACAGCCGTCCTTTCCGGCGTTTACTCGGCTTAATCGAAAGCGGTATGTCTGCATTCGATTAAGGCTGCCAGGTACCGCACTCCGCCTACACCGTCGGTACGTGGAGAACCAGACACAGCCGAAGTAATCTCCACAGATATAATGGTCAGAGGAGCGTTTTAACTTCCGCGTCTTACCTCAACGAGATTCACGCGAGATTTCCTCCATGACCCGGTCAAGTTCATTTGCACCAGAGGAACCATCAAGAATCTTAAAGCGTTGGTTCCGAAAATGTGCTCGGTGGTGCCGCAATTGTGCATCTGGCCGCCCTCTTGGCCCCCTTAATCGATGGCGATGGCGGTACGACGCAGCCCGACAAGACCAACAGCGAACTGGGGCGTAGAGTGCCACCACAAAAGGTAGGGCGCACTTCAACGCACTTCTCAAATTGCGGTTGAACACCAAGATCGACGACACCTTCGCCACCAACTTGCTCGAGATCGATGGCTCACCACGGCACACCCGTCGAGTACGGAAAGCTGCAGACCCCGGACGTCGAGGAACGACTCAGCTCCGTCAGCAAAGACCCTCACATGGAAGATGGCACTGAAGAAGACGAGTCGTACCAGAAGAAGACCCCAGCCGAGAGAATCGCGTCGGGACGATTGCATCTCTCGCCGCGCTCTACTTCTTCATGGTGGCTGTCAAGTTCATCGGCAACGGCTTCACACTCGCTCTGGGCTACGACACCAAGGTGCCTTCGACTTTGCCAACAACCCTGTGGCTGGACTCATGATCGGCACCGTGGCGATCGCACTGCTCCACAGCTCCGGCACTGTGACGTCCATCGTGGTGGCGCTCGTCGGGTCCGGCGGCATGACCATCCGCCAGGGCGTGTACGTGATCATGGGGGCCAACGTCGGCACTTGCGTCACCTGCATCATGGTGGCGTTCGGACAAGTGGGCGACCGCGCTCGCTTCCAACGCGCGATGGCGGCGGCCACGGTTCACGACATGTACAACATTTGGTCGGTGTTCGTCCTGTTCCCGCTTGAAGTCGTCTTGCACCCGCTGGAGAAGATGTCGGTGGCCATGTCGAACGCCAAGACGAACAGCGGCGCCTTCAACAGCCCCGTCGACACCATCGTCAACCCGTTGACCCAGACGCTGCTCATGGTGGACAAGAAGGCCATCTACAAGGTCGCCACGGGGGACACGGTGTGTACCGACGGCCAGTCGTTCGTGAAGGGAGGCGCGTTCGAAGGCTCCAGTCTCAGCGACGGGAGCATCGGAGCCATCACGGTTGCCATCGGGTTCTGCATCCTGGTCTGCGCGCTGCTGACGCTGGTGAAGATGCTGGCTAAAGTCTTCATGGGTCCCACCAAGCAGCTGATCTCCAAGCTGCTCAACTTCAACGGCTACATCAACATCTTCGTGGGGACTCTGATCACCTTCTCTGTGCACTCGTCGACTGTCGTCACCTCAACGCTCACGCCGATGGCTGGCTTGGGCGTCATCACACTGGAGCAAGTGTACCCGCTGGTGATTGGGGCGAGCTTGGGCACGACTGGCACTGCGTTGCTGGCATCGCTTGTGACTGGCAAGTCCGACTCCGTTGCGATCGCTCTGGTTCACTTCTGGTTCAACGTGTTCGGCATCTTCCTCTTCTACCCGATCCCGATCACTCGCAAACCGATTCTTGATTCAGCCCTTGCACTGGCTGTGCTTGGCCGTTAGCGGCTGTGCTGTTCCTCGTGGTGCTCTTTATCCTTGCACCAGGCATTTTACTTATCACGGCGAGCTTGTGCACCGCCCAGGGAGTCGCGATTCAAGGTTTTGGGTGGTTCGCTGCAATTGCTGAGCTAGCGGGTCTCGTTTATTTCATTTTCTGGTACAATACGAAAGGTGGCCGTGAAAAATGGCACGTGTTCTTAGAGGAGAGGAGCCAAGAACGTGAAAGCGGGCTAGAGTGGTTTCACACCCACGAAATGACCTAAGCAAAAAAAAAGTTTTCTGAGAGTGTGTTTGTGGCTACTTAAGTGCCGAGTTATTTTATTTTTTTTCCAGCAAAAATGATATTTTTTGCTGGAAAAAAACGTAATGACAAATTCCCACCATCCCAAACCCCTCGCAAATCCGTTAACCCAACGCCTAAAAATATGTACCCACTTCAACAAACGTTGCAGCAGCAATAGATCGCACTCCGCAATACGCAACAAGCTCCCGCCCCGCGCAGCACACGGCTCCAAACAGTAACCCCCTAGCCTCTCGCTCATCATGGCGGTGACGGGCAAGCGCAAGTGGCAGGAGGACGACTGGGAGGTCGCCATGGCCGCGCAGTCCTTCGTGGCCGTGCTGGCCGCCCAGGGGCCGCCAGAGCCCGCGCCCAAGGGCAGGCGAGGCAAGAAGAAATCGACAAAGAAGAAGAAGAAAACGCCCACGAGACGCTCGCCGCGCGCCCGCGCAGTCAAGAAACAAGAAGAAGAGAAGGAGGAGAAGGAAGAAGAGAACGATGGAGCGGACGTGGACATGGAGGGGCCCAAGGCGGACGAGTTCTGGCTGGCGGAGCTGCAGGACGACGTGACCGAGGACATGCTGGCCAACCCTGAGGGCGTGAGCGTGCTCGTGACGTGGCTCAACCGCACGGCGGACCGCCGCTACGAGCGCGCGTACGACGAGCAGGTGGACGTGGGCAGCATCCTGTGCCACGTCTTCCTGCGCGAGCTGAGCGTCACGGCGCTGGAGCTCACGCCCAAGTCGCTGGCCAGAGTGCAGCGCTGTCTGCGCCGCGCCAAGGCCACGCTGGCGGGCCAGCCGCTGCCGGAAGAGGCGGAGGACGAGGAGCTGGACAACGAGCGCCCGCCCGCGCCGCTCGCTTCCGCCGGCAGGAAGCGCCACGCCGCGGGCGAAGCAGCTGGAGCTGGCAGTGGCAGCTCCAAAGGACCCAAGAAGCTCAGCAAGAGGGAGGCGGTCATGCACATTCCGCCGCTGCGCGCGACGGTGGACGAGGCCAAGTACGAGGACCGAGAGCTGCTGGGCTCGCAGCAGTTCGAGACGTTCAGGGGGGACGTGGCTTCTGCTAACCGCGAGGTGCTGCGCGCGGTGCTGACGGGGGATGTGAAGTTGCTCAAGCAGCTGACGACCAAGCCGGAGGCGTACGCGGAGCTGAGCACGTTTGACGCGCCGCGCAGTGCTGATGTGAAGAGGACGGCGCTGCAGTATGCCATTGACAAAGACGATCTGGCGGCGGCGGCGCTGCTGCGTCAGACGGACGAGAAGGTGGACAAGCAGCAGCTCGCGACGGCGCCCGAGGTGGCGCTACCCTCGCACTCAACGGGCCAGCACACGAGTCGCTTCAGCGACTACAATCGACGGGCGATCAACGCCAGTCGCGGCGGCAAGGAGGGCAATAACGCGCTGCTGGAGGACGGGAATGCTGCGGCGGCGAACCTGTCGCTCGAATACCTATGGAGAAGCCCCAACGCCAGTGTCGAGATGCTCACGCTGCTGTATCCGACGGGAGAGTGGACGAACGGATACGCTGTTGGGAATAATGTGTGCCACGCGGCTCGCTGTGGTAATTATCGGCTCGTGCGGAAGGTTGTGGAGACGTTGGAGAAGAATGGAGGCTGGGGATTCAACGAGTTGCACCACAAAGTGCTCGCGGATGGGCCTGATGGAGAAGATGGAGCTCCTCTGCTGCCGCCGTTTCGCTCTGTTTCGGCTGTCAAGCAAGCCCACCAAACGCGGCTTCGCCCACTTCATCTAGCTGCGATCAACCCGAACACCAAGTACTTGGAGGCGCTCTGGGCGGTGGCAGGGGATGAGTTCAGCGCTATTAAGGATGATCAAGGATACGAGCCGATCCACTACGCGGCAGGATGCGAGTCACCGGCGCCAATTCAATTCCTTCTCGAACGACGCTGTGGGATGTTTGGGCGCACGAAGACGCGCCTAACTCCGCTGATGTGCGCACTGGAGGCGGGGCGCGAAGAAACGGCGTTAGCTCTACTCAAGTTTGCTGCTACACCAGGGGAGAGTGGAGGTGGTGGGCAAGAAGTTGCAGATAAACTCGTGCGGGAGAAAGGACCTGGTGGCAAGCAAGCTGTGCACTTCGCGGCTAGACAGGGATGCGCCAAGGTGCTGGAATACCTTCTGACGGAATGCGGTGGCGCTGTGGAGGTGAACGCCGTATGCGGGGGTACAAGCAAATCCACCCCGCTGACGCTGGCAGCGCAGAACGGTCATCTGGAGTGTGTACGCATTCTGCTTACGAACGGTGCGCGCGTGGATCTCGGTGATAAGCTCAAGAAGACGCCCCTCATCCTGGCGGTGAAGAATGGGCATACACGTGTGGCAGCGGCCCTCATCAACGGTGGAGCTAATGTGAATGCCTACGATACGTCGGAGAACAGTGTTACCCATTATGCAGCTAGTTACGGGTGGTCTTCGTGCCTTCAGCTGCTGTGCGATGCAGGTGCCGAGCTGTGGTCCTCGAACGCGTGGGGTTTCGTTCCTCTCGCTTGCGCCCTGCTGAAACAGAGGCGTGCATGTGCAGAGCTGATACTGAGCCAGGTCAGTGGCGAGGCCCAGCAAAAGTTCCTGAACTTCAGAGACCGCCAAGGCCGCACCATGCTCTTCCTACAGTGCCAGCATTCGCACAGCTTTGGACAGCTGAGTTACTTACTGGAGAAGGGCCTAGATCCGAACATCAACGACTCAGAAGGAGAATATCCTCTGCAACGGTTGATCAAGCGCGCTTGTGACGAGTCCCCATCGACTGCTGACGGAAGTGTCAGTAACCAACAACTCTCGAAATTCTTTTTGGACGCGGTGGGCCTTCTACTTGAGCATGGCGCGCACCCACAGTATGAACTTTACTCTGAAGACGTGAAAAAGGAGGAGAAGACGGATTCCGGATTGGTGCAGCCACTTCAACTTGCGATAATTGGAAACCAGCGTGAGATCGTTGAGCTTCTGCTGAACCAACAATGTGTGAACCCCAATGCGCAGTCTTCAGATGGATCGGATGCTTGGATGACAGCGGCGGCATTGGGTGCAGATCTCGGAGGAGATTCGTATTTGTCGATGTTGCTGGAGCACCACGATAGAACGGCGAACGGTGAACCCCTTAAGTTGGCCGGAAGGACACGGCCTGACAAGGAGAATTTCTTTCACGTGGTGGCTAACCAAGACGCGGCTCAACTCACTGCAATGCCGGACCTCATCCGCCAGTGTGCTACTAAGTGCACATCAACTTCGGACATGATGTGCGAGCAGGATGTTAACGGCTATACACCGGTGATGCGGTTGCTTGATCCGAGTCACGAGCGCAGCGCAGGCAGCCAGGCAGATCCAGACAGGCTGCAGCAAGTGCGTGAGATGGATGCACGGCTCACTGCCTTGCTTGCAATTTATGCGGAGAGAACGACTAAGCGTGAGGCTTATGTGCGCTGTGAGGAAGCTTCGCGATTGCGGGAGCTAACGGGCGCAGCATGTGCTACCGAAGTGGATGCTAATCCTAGTGATCCTGTCCAGAGCGCTTCGGTTACAAATGGATCAGATGCAGATGACTCCGATGACGGTGGTAGTGATGATACATGTAGTGGCGGTGGCGGTGGTAACGACGCGCTTTCAGGTCGGCCGACATCAGATCCCAACTCGAACGATGAAGGCAAACCGAAGACCATGGTGGAATTTGAAACAGCGCTGCATCTGCTTGCGAGAAGAATGCTTACGAGCGAGCCATCAAACCCTTGGATGAAGTGGTATGGGTGTGCAGAGCACTCTGCCAAGTGCCTCATGCACCTTTTGTTGGAAAAGCGACCTGAATTGTTTTCTTCACGCCCGGAAGACAAAGACAAATCCTTGGTCAATTTCGTCCATCTCGGAAGTTTCAAGACAGCGCTGCACTATGCTGTAGAGTCGGGTGACGGACCCACAGTCCAGGTGTTGCTGACTCACCAAGCCCACGCGAACTTGTCTCCTGTGAGGTGCACGAACTGCAAAGAATTTGCTATCAACGATGCCATTGCACGTGCTAGTGGAGGATCTGGTATTGACCGTGACAGCTACCCTGCCTGCTCAGGAAACTGCGGCCTGAAGGCGTTGCTGGATCCTGCATTATTTGAAGCTGTCAAACACAAGCGCATCAAGTGCACGCGGCTGCTTCTGAAGCACGGTGCTCAAGTCAACTGCGTCGCGAAAACTACTCAAGAAACACCGCTCCACGTAGCGCTGCGAGCAAATGATGGCGAGGCTGTTAGTATTCTTCTGGCGCACGGAGCAAGTCTCACGGCGCGGGATGCTTTCGGTGCCTCACCACTCCATCTAGCGGTTGTTGCACGCCATTCTATTCCAGCGAAAGAGGCCCACGCCGGCGAGGTCAACTACTCGACAGTGACCATTACTCAATCTTTCCCGCCTGGACGTCCAATTCCTACCAATACGAATCCGTTTTCCGTCACGGTTTCCTCGGATTCAAGCCAGCGACAGTTAGATGTGGTGGAGCCAGCCATACTAGTCGCACTCAAGGACTCAAATGCCCGGCAAGCTGTTATCGTAGGTGACACCAACAAGAGAACTCCAGTGCACTATGCTGCGCGTAATCGAGACCTCGAGCTACTACAGGAGCTACTTCGTGCTGCTGGGAAAGACGGAGCTCGTGCTGCTGTGAACCAGCGCGACTGGCTTGGGCGTACTCCACTGCACTATGCTGTAAACACTGCCGCCATGAGTGCCGACGCATCTTTTGCGGTTGAACGATTTCTGCTTCAGAGTGGGGCTGATGCGAGCATCCAAGACGACTTTGGATTCGGGGCACTACACTTTGCACTCATAAAGGTGCAGCTGGACTGGCAGGAGAAGTACGACGCTACCCACAAGAAAACTCAGGGTCAGAAGGATCGTGAAGGTCAAATCCGCGACGCCGAAATTTATGAGACGGAAAAGCGAGAGGCATTCTTACGTGAGCATTTGGGAGTAATTCCAGGGAGCGAGACAGACCCCGTGGAAACCGTGTCGAACCTGGCGGCAGAACGCGGCCTCAACCTCGCGATGCAAGACGCGCTAGGGCGCTCACCTCTCCATCTCGCAGCTGCCACTGGTGCTTTTGTGTGCGTTTCAACGCTTCTTGCATCCTGTGGGGACTCCTCGAAGCAGAAAGAAACCATGGCGCTACAAGATCACGATGGATTCACACCACTTGGTCTCGCTGTTTTGCATAAGCGTCAGACGACTATCATGACCTTATTGCGCAGCGGTTCTGCTGTGGACGGCAAGCTTCGGATCACTGTTTCATGGACTCAGACCAAACAGGCCGGTCAGTCAAAGCCGAAACGGGAATTGAAGGTGAAGACGCGGAGCTACTTCTACCATGCGGTGAGCAACAACCTCACCGGTATCTGCCACATGCTGCTCAGCGCAAAGTTTTGCCGCCGCCAAGCCATCGAAGATTCCGTAAGGTGTGGACAGTTCCAACTCGCGAACAATCTCCTCGGGGTACTGGAGTCAGGATCGGACTGTGGACTAGAGCTCTTGAAGCGCTCAAACTCAAATGGGGAGACTTTGCTTCATTCGTTGGCCAAGACGCGCCAAGCAGGGTTCGACGCACTTGCCAAGAAGTTAGCGTGGGCTCTTGTGGATGCCGGCGTCCGTGTCGGTGCACAAGACAGAAAAGGCAACTCAGCCTTCCACTACGCAGCCAAGCGTGGTAATACTCACCTGCTTGATTTCCTACACCACCAGAGCGGTGGTGCAAAGACTGAGAACATGAAGAATCACGCTGGGGAGACCCCGCTACTGTTTGCTCTGAAGCAAAAGAGCAACCGCAACAGCTTCAGTGACGATCAACTGCTCACGGTGCTGTGCTATTTCTTGGAGCATCCGTCGTTTTCTCTGGAAGTCCACGAAGCGGACGACTCTGGAATGAACGTGCTCGGCGCATTCGTGGACCGCTTTACCGAGAGCCTTGCTACATCCAAGCCCGTGCTGTTCTTCACGATGCTCGAAAGTTTGCTCAAGCGGGGCGTGGATCCCAATCTTAGCTTCCACAGTGCTCATGTAGCAGCTCTAGAACGGAGAAAAGGGACCGAGACTGAAGACAAAGACCAACTGCTGCGATCCGGTCGTGACATCTGTGAGATCACATCCCTTGCCGAAGGGGACGGAGACAAAATGCCTGCACTTGTACGTGTCGCCCTCACGCCAGATGCATCTACACGCTTCCACGCGATAGCGCTTTTGCTTCGGTACGGCGCGAAGTTGTCGACTGCTGACGGGAGAGGAAACACGCTGCTCATGCACCTTGCCGCGCGGAACCTGGTTGCGGAGACACGGCTCGCTCTGGGCTTGATTCGTTACATTCCAGAACCGAGAGACGTGTTCACATTCGCGGCTTCGAACCGCGTGTGCTCCCTTCATGTTCCAGAGGCGAGCGTGAAAGAAGCACTCGGACAGCGTAACACCGCTGGATTAACGGCGTGCCACATCGCTGTGCAGCCGCTCGACTACGGATCCTACGAGAACACGCGCTTGTTGGCGTTGCTTGTGCGAGCCGGTGGCGACCTTCGCATCAGAGATGCTTCAGGAAAGTCTGTCATCGACTACGCGCGGGACCAGCGCTCGCAGATCGTGCTTCGGTTCCTTGAACGCACATTCTCCGAATTCGTTTCAATCCAAGCTGCACCCTCAGAGTGCAGTACAATGTTTGTGACTCCGCCAACCTATACAGATGATGCTTGCGCGTACCTGGAGGAGTGTGAGACGTCGGGTAAGATAACGCGCTCGCCTGTCGTGCCCAAAGTAAACGCTAGCTGCGATGTCGGCCAGCTGAGCAAGATTCACCACGACAGCGGAGCAGCCTTGGACGCGCTATTGACCAAGGTGGATGTGAAAAACGGGCGGTTCGGACTCAACGTCTTTTATCGCCTGCAACTCGTGCGTGACGAGCTGCAGGACATCTTCGTGCTCTTTACCAACTGGGGAAGGATTGGCGAGACGGGCAAGTTCCAGAACACGCCGTTCCGAGATGAGGCGGAAGCCGTGAACGAGTTCAAGAAGATTTTCCGCAGCAAGACCGGCAACACGTGGGAGTCACGTGCACCGGACGAGTTCGTCAAAAAGCCCAAGAAGTACAATCTGGTCCAGCGTGTCGACTACGCGACAAAGGTCGACGATGAGGTGACTAGATCGTTTCGCGAGGATATGGACGGTGGGACTAGTAAGGGAGTTGCATTCCCTGAGCCGCGCGATCCGGACTTGGTTTGGTCCCCCAGTGTCATGGCAATGCTGGCTGCCATCACGGATGTGCGCAACCTTCAGCTTGCAGCACAGACTAGTTGCGGCTTCGCTGGTGGTGATTTGCCTTTGGCGAAACAGGATGAGTTGCGAGTGGCTCTTGAAAAGCTTCAAGAGATCCGAGATTTGCTGGAGGAAAAGGAGGAGCTGGTAAAGGAAATCGGCACTGCGAGTGGTGATCTTTCTGACGAGGGAGCAACAAAGCGTGCATTGCTGGCGACGCGCCATGAAGCACTGACCGAGAAGGTGAGCGAGCGTAGTAGCCGTTACTACGAGATCATGCCTTGCCAAGAGGATATGCTAGCGTCTTCGATCAAGGCGTTCGACCAGGTGAGCGATGTGAATGCTGAAATCACGCGACTACGGCTGCTATCAGATATTATGGAGACGTACAAGATGTTGCTTGGTGCTAAACGTGCACAGCAGACGAACAATCCGTTGGAATACTGCTACCACGCACTGCAAGTACGGCTCACGCCACTTCAGCCCGCCGATGCTGAGCGACAGCTCATTCACCGCTACTTCTTTGGTGGCCTACGTTCGCACGACCGCCAGCAGTATCGCATCAGCAACGTGTTCGAGGTGGAACGTCGCGGTGAGACCCAGAGATTTAATGATCTCATGGAGGAACGCCCAGATCTGGAGGCTATGCAGACGCATTTGTTGTGGCATGGCACAAAGCGGACGAACTTGATGGGGATTCTATCGCAGGGACTGCGTGTGGCTCCTCCTGAGGCTCCGCACCATGGCTACGCGTACGGCAAGGGTCTCTACTTCGCGAATGTGGCTGAAAAGAGCCTCAACTACTGTGATGCACCGTATGCGCTACCGATTCTGGACAAGGACGGCAAACCGGACACGACGACGACGAAGACTCGCGAGGTGCACTACATGTTATTATGCGAGGTGTCTCTCGGTAAGCCCGTGGAGTTGACGACTACCGCAGCTTGGGGAAGTGATCCTCTCCCACGCGAGGGAATGGATAGTGTGAAGGCACTGGCGATGCACAATCCTGACCCAGCGGGTGAGCTCGTATCACCGAAGTGTGGAGCAAAGCTACACCTTGGAAAGGTGAAGCAGGTGGGGAGAGAACTTCCGTTCGACCGAGTGTGGGCGAAGACAGACCCCAACCCGGCACCGATGGGGTGGTACGAACGCAACCCGAAGTTCATGCCTGAGACCCAGGACTACCTGTCGAAGCTCTTGGAAGACAAGAGTTTTACAGTCGGATCTACGCACACTGTGAGCTCCACGGGTAACGCTCGTGAACACTTCGTGCAATATCAATACGAGCAGCGCACGATTGTGATCGAGGTGGTCAATCGCGAGATCTTTGATACTGGCGATGACGATGACGAACCGGACGCAGGCAGTGCAGTCCCTCACAAGGCTGGGAGCGGAGCGTGGTGTGAAGCCACGCTCAAGGTGACTATTCGTCCGGACGACGGGACGGCGTACAGCTACCTCGCAAAGCTGTATCGCAACATCCTGACGAACGCACCACTCCCTGAGGGCTTCAGCTTGGTCGAACCGGCGCTGTCGAACTACGCTGAGCTGGTCGTGTACAAGGAAGCCCAGGCGCGTATTCGCTACGTCGTCGAAGTCGAGACTGTGAAGGGTGGAAGTTCGATGTAGGCCTGGGTTCCATACATGTATTCATACCTTGATTTAACTATTGTGCAAGTTGAAGTTTTGGTTTCTTACGTAGCTACTTGTTGTTCCTGCTCTTGGTTACAGCTAGGACTCTGCGTCGCTGCAATCCTGGTGTGGGGCTTGGTTCTCGTGGCCGAGAGGGTTCTCGCCTGCACGGTCAAGCTCTGGGTCTGCTTGGTAGCGTACATGTTGCGAGCCTGTAAGGTCCCGCATGCATGGTCAAATCGCTGCTGTTCATGGCGCACGAGCGCTCGCAGTGTTTCATCTTCCTCCCGGTTGCGCCGTCGAGCGTCTTCCTTCGCTCTGGCGAACACTTGAGCTCTGGCGTGGTCCTCTTCTTGCTTAGCCACGCGCTGACGTTCACGGTACTCCGCGTTCATGCGCTTCTCCTGAGCTCGGACATTCTCCATGGTGATGGACTCCATTTGGTGCGTCTCCTGTCGGTTCTTGGCCTCACGCTCGAAGCCGCACTTGACCTGGTCGAAGTGGTTCTCCTCGAGCATGTTCTTGGCCGCGCCCAGGAATCGTCTTCGTGTAGCGAGCTCCTCGGCTTCCAGGCGAAGTTTGTCCGTCTGCTGCTTGCGCTCTTCTCGTTGGCGCTGGAGCTTTTCAGCGAGCTCGAGATTGTTCTTACGACGAAGCGCTTGCTCCTCCATCTCGCGAGCGGCAGTCAGAGCCTTCTTCTTGCTGCGAACGGCGGCGTTCGCACTTGCGGTGGCTCGCCGACGACGCGCAGCATTGGTCGCCTTTTCCAGCAGATCGGCACTTTTCTCCTGCTTGTCCGTGAGAATGGCTTCACGTCGAGATTCCTCCCAGCGCTTCTGCTCTTCATGACGCACTCGAAGCCGTTCGCGGAGCTCTGCAAGCGACATCTCCTGGAGAAGACCGAGCTGAGCTGTCTCCGTCGGGTCGAACACAGCGACGTACTCGCGGTGGACGCGGTCTAGAGCTCGGATCTGGCGGATCAAGTCTTCGCGAGCTGCCTGCTCCTTCGCATCCTCCTTGGCTTTACGCTCTCTTTCGGCGACCAAGAACTCCTGCAGTGCGTCACGTTGTCGAGCATTTTCCTCGCGGACTTGAGCCTCAGCTTCTCGAGGAGCGGTGTCCCTGACACGCTTGGCCTCTTCGGTCAGCTGTCGGTACTTTTCAACCAGCTCGTTCTCTTCTTGCTCACGCTCAGCAGCTCGGCTTCGTGCGCGCTCTTTCATTTCCATAGCCACCTCCCGATTCTCGAGCTTGGCGTGTCGTGCTGCCTCGATGGCGTCGTATTGCGCTTGGACCATCTCAAGACGGCGGGTTTCCACCTCACGCCGCCAATTCGCTTCGTCCTGCTGCTGCATGTTGGCTTGCCAGCGGTAGAACTCGAGCGGGTCTCGCAGTTCCGACTCATAGGCGCGAATCAACGCCGCTTCCCGGTCTTTCTTGCGCTTATGCAGCGCGTCTTCCCTCAAGATGGCGGCCGCTGTGAGCTTCACTTCGGTGGTGTTGGCTGCGGTAGCAGCGGAAGTGCTGGCATGAGGAACAGGCTTCGCCTTGAAGTCAAACTGCAGCGCTGCCTCACGCTCGCGCTCGACTTCCTCTCGAACTGCCTCCAAGTTGCTGCCTCGAGTTGCTGTGGCGAACTGGAATTCGTCGGTGGGAGCGTATTTACTTGCCACTTCAGCTTTGATGCGCTCCTTCCGAGCTTCCTGCTGAGCTTGCAACTCGGCTAACGAGAGTCGGTTGAGTGATGCTGGTACCGGGTTCGCCTTGACTTCTCGAGGAATGCGGATGGGCTCGAGAGCTTTTCGAGGCTTTGGCTGAGTGATATTGGGCATCACAGGCACTGTGGGCGGCTTGGAAGCTCCATCGGATACCGCAGGGTCCGTACTATGAGCTTCACGAGAAGAAGCCGCTCGTCCGAACGCTTTAGCATGCAACTGACCGAGCAGTTTGTCGATTTCCGGCTCAAAGCTCAGCATCTTGTCGATAATCTGCGTCTCAACGAATTCAGTGTCAAGGACCCGAGTCCATTGCGCGTGCAGCGTCCCTCGAAGCTCTTCTGGATTGAAGATGTACGAGATGAAGGCGTACATACTGGTGGGTTGGAGAGCCAGCGCCAAGCCGGAAAATGCTGGAGCTCCGAGCTCTTCGAGTCGAAACATGGCCAAGTAGCCCATGATTAGGAACTTGGTGTAGTCCGTACGACTCACTTGGCTCGAGTGCGAGTCGAGAAACAGCGTCAGCATTGGACGCAGCAAGTCACGGTAGCGGTACGACCCGTACAAAACCTGTTGCAGGAACCGTTGGTCGGTAGTGGAAGACACTCCTCGAAGCTCCTCCGTCGCATGAGCGTCGACCGTGGTCTTCGCTGGGTCGAACGACTTGATCAGCTCTTCACATACAGCTAGCAGCTCCTTCCGCTTCATCTTTGCGTGCAACTGCAGTGGTTGAGCTACTTGACCTCACTATTACTGGAATTAGTGAAAGAAACTCTTCACTTCGTGCTATAAACTACCATTTGTGGGACGCCTGGAATAATATGCTGCACTTACACTTGCAAAATATTGATTTTACCATGACTACGTCACTCATCATCGCGTGCGCACGAAGCACCTGGGAGCAGCTTTCCACCGTTTGGTTGGTCATCTACTTCCAAGGCCATTACTCTGTGGCCCGACTCAAACAATTGAATGACTACACAGGGACGCTTAAGCGCGGACGGTTGCTAATGATCTTGGTGTTGACTCCACTGCCAAGCTTGGTACTAACTTACTGAAAGAGGCACTGCCCTTATCTCCACCGCAAGCTCCAGTGCACCGACAGTGGGCGTTCTTCATTCGAGCCTGGATAGTCACGAGTCTCATCGATGGATCCGTTCTTTTACAGATAAGCCACGGCGTCCCAAGGCTTAAACTGACAATTGGTCCGCTGGTCTTCGTAGCTCTCCTGGCGTCTGCGGTTTCAATGGTTTTCGTTTTCGGGATATGCTCCGTTTTCAATACGTTTCCCTTGCCATTCGGGGTTCTCACCGCTGCACCACCCAACGTGGGTGTGATTTCGGGGTGCTTCGTATACCTGGCGAGGCCTCGATGGGAAGCCAACCTGTCAATTTGGGGAGACGTCAAAAGACAATTATCCATGCCGATCAGTCTTGTGGTGCTTACGTTCATTTACACAATCTACATTTACGGCTACGTCTCACTCTCTGGCATCGCCCAAGCCTTTTACGTTCTGATCTTGCCGGTAAGCTTTTCGCAAAGCACTTGATTGACGTTGCGTTTACCGACCAGAATGTTGCACAACCTGAAGCTTTCGTGTTCAATATCGATGTAATGATGGCTCTTTATACCTCAGGCCCGCCTCATCGTGGACGGCAGTTGGTGTAATAATGGTCTTAGAAACGAACCACTTTTATCAAACCATGATCAGTATTCGCAAGTTCCTTGGCGATGTGAATGCGCTCCACGCCAAAATCCCACGTGGCCATATTTCCTGGAAACGACTAACGTATCTTATCTACACCGAGCTATTCTGTTTTACATGCCTATCAGGGCGTATCATCATTATATGGCCGGCATATCGAGCTCCCAATTGTGGTCTTCTGTCGCTAACGTTAGTGGTGCTTTGTACAGCCTACTGGAGCTTCTCTCCTTTGGCGTCGTGATATTTGTGCTGAATCGCAGGCTGCGTTTTGCAGCAACTTGGCTTCGTCTTAGGCATCCAAAGACCAGAGGTCCAAACAAAGCTAGTTGGCGTTTTTGTTTATGTGACGCAGCTATCGCTAGTTCACCTTGGTACGCATACCTGTATCTGACGCTGTGGGCTGGATTTAGGCTACGTTACTGACTTTCTCCCACAAGGCGCGGACTTTAGCTTCCAGTTCTCGTGGCTGCAACACAAAACATAGCGGCATAGAAACCGGAGGTAAGCGACTCACGACCGACGTTAGGCCGTGTCCGAGTATTACCTTTCCACGCCTCTATTATACAGTTGAAACATCTGAAGCGCAAGTGTGTAAACCATCTATAGTGGAGTGCACACAAGATACTTGATAACTGAGCCACTTCCCCGCGTCAAGCAACGATTGTCATCGTCCACTGACCCCCGCCGCGCCTTCTAGTGATCAAACAGGCAAACAAATAGCCGCCTACTTGGCGACAGCGCTACACCCTCGAAGCGAGTGCAGATGCTCTCGTTCGCCTGCCATGATGATGAATGTAGCCATTTCGCCTCTCTCCATACGTCGCAGATTTAGAAATCCCATCCTTCGGCATTTTCCCATCATCTATCACACTCCGTAGCCACATTGAACAGCAATGCTGCGACTCGTCCGCCGCGCTCGTGGGGCGACTTCAATCGCTCGGTTCTCGGCGCCCGTGCGTCGGATATCGCTGCTTCAACGCCGACATGTTAGCTGCTCGTCATGGCTTTCATCGGGTGCAGGTCCAACCTCCGGCGACGCAGTAGTCATCGAGAACGATGCCGCCAAAGTGACGCCCATGGTGGCTCAGTATCTCACCCGCAAGAAGGAGTATCCAGGTAGACCATTACGGTAGAACTTCGTTGGTGTACGGTGCTGCAGTGTATTAATGTTTAAGTGGTGGCATCGCTGTGTACGGGGCAGACTGCATGCTGCTCTTCCAAGTGGGGGATTTTTACGAGTTTTTCGGGGACGACGCGCGACGAGCAGCTCATGTACGCCCCCAATCGGAGTCTTGACTTGAATTCTTTATTTTTTCTCAGTGACTTACTGTATTATAATGTTGCGTGTGTTGGTGGTAGTAGCTGTTGAATCTGGCTTTGACCAGGAAGACCAAGACGGCGCAGGGGGGTGCGCTGAGTGAGATGTGCGGGTTCCCCGTTGGGTCGGTGGACTCGTTCGTGGAGAAGTTGGTGAGCTAAACTTGCGTAGGGCCAATTTCATGGTTGTTGTGGCTAAGCGTTGTGTGGTTGGTAATGGTGAGGACAGGTTATGCATCATGGCGTGAAAGTGGCGATCTGCAATCAAGTCGAGGTGGGTAACTAGGCTAATTGCTGATGAGGGTGGGGCGATTTATTTTAATGGTGTCTCTGATACCGTGTAGAGTGCATCGAGCGCGAAAAAGCGCGGATACAACGCTCTTGTCGACCGCCAGGTTGTGCGCATTGTCACGCCAGGGTCTCTCGTTGAAGACACAATGCTCACCCCAAAGGAGAACAACTATTTGGCATCGCTATTTTACGACGGAGATACGTGGGGTCTGGCATGGGCTGATTTGTCCACGGGCGAGTTTGTGTCAACCACGTCTACAAGCGAGAAACTGTCCAGCGCAATATTGAGGTGCTCACCAAAGGAAATTCTGCTGCCGAGTTTGGAAGTTAATGATGAGGCGAAGGATTCTGTGAAGCTTGATTTACCCGATGATGCGGTCGCTTTGCTGGAATCAGCCCTCCCTGACACCTGCATGAAGACATTTCGCCCTGTTGCAAGCTTCATTCCGCGGCCTGCCACGTCAAACGGACGCCAAACCCGTGGAGCTTCAATGAAAACACTTGATGCACCGGAGCAGGCAGCAGTCTCAGCTATCCTAGACTATGTGGATTTTACGCATCGCGGAATGAGCGCGCTGATTCGGGCACCGCTTCATGTCGAATCATCTGATCACATGATCATCGACTCGAGCGCGTGGAGGGGTCTGGAGCTTGCCAGGTCGCTCAACGGATCCAAGGCATCGAGTTTGCTTCAAGCAATTGACTCGGCGGCCACACCTGGTGGCTCGCGGCTGCTTGCGGTAGGTCGCTTTACTACTGCAATACCTTCTTCGGACAGAGTAGCTTACTGGATGTTATCGTATCACAGGCCCACTTGGCGTCGCCGCTGATGAACCTCGAGCTGCTTGAGCGTCGGCTGGACGCTGTGTCTTATTTCTATGACCAGGAGCGACTGCTTCTGCGTACGCGGAAGCAGCTCGCTGAGGTGTTCGATATGGAGCGCAATCTGCAGCGGCTTTCAATTGGTGCCGGCACTCCAAAGGACCTCAAGAACGTAGCGTCTACCATCGACGAGGCCAAACGATTAGTGGAGCTTATACAGTCACACGAACGACTGAGACACAGTCGTCTTCCTGATCTTCCTGGAAAAGATGCCGCAGGCTTACCAGCACTGCTGGAGGACTGCTGCGATGGTTGTGTCGCCACTGAGCAGCAACGCGTTGACATTGCCAAGGCTGCGGAAGAAATCCACGCAGCACTCAAGGACGACTATGCGTCGCTCAACTCAAAGAGCGGATTCGTGCGAGAAGGATACTCTTCCGAGCTGGACAAGTGGCAAGCAATTCTTCGGCACGACCCGAAATCTCCTGAAAAGCAAGAACTTCAAGCCAAATATCGCGAACTGGTCGGATCCACGAGGCTTCGCGTTGTTTATCAGGCTGAAAAGGGCTACTTTCTCGACATCCCACACGATGAAAACGCCAAGCTGCTGAAGACTGACCGTGGACGCCGAGAGCTTGAGAAACTCACGCTCTTCCAGTCTCTGAAAAATTCGGTAAGGTATCGCAGTGAGGAGCTGCGTCAACTGAACCGGGAGCTCACAGAAGCGGCGGTGGAGGTCGACCGCGTTGAGGGCGACATTTTTACGTCTCTCCGGGATCGAGTGCTGCTGGTGCGCGACGAGTTGCAGTCGATGGCTCATGCCATTTCCCAGATCGATGTCGTGTGCTCCCACGCTCAAGTGGCACTCGACCGCAACTTCACCCGCCCCCTGCTGGATGGCAGCTGTGAGCTGCACATTGAAGATGGCCGGCATGCCGTGGTGGAAGCTGCGCACCTGCGTGGTTCAAACTCTAAGGGTATGCGAGCATTTGTGCCCAATAGTCTGCATTTGGCAGCAGCACCCGTCGGCTCTTGCTGGTTGCTGACAGGTCCCAATATGGGCGGAAAGAGCACATTCCTGCGGCAGAGTGCGCATCTCGTGGTTCTAGCGCAAATGGGGAGCTTCGTACCCGCGAAGTTTGCTCGTGTTGGGCTCGTGGACAAGTTGTTTTGTCGTGTGGGATCGGCGGACGACCTGGCAGCGGACAAGAGTACGTTCATGGTGGAGATGCAGGAGACGTCGACAGTCCTAACGCAGGCGACTAGTCGCTCACTCGTGCTGATGGATGAAGTTGGGCGCGGTACTGCTGTCAACGACGGTATTGCGATCGCTGGCGCTGTCCTTGAAGCTCTGTGCGCGAAGCAGACGCGCACGCTGTTTGCCACGCATTTCACTGCACTGAGCGATCTGGTGGGTGACACGTGCAATGGAGAACTTCGACCCTATCGCATGGAGGTGCTAGAGCATCAAGTGGGAGGTCAGACCAAGCAGCTCGTGTTTTCGCATCGAGTAGTCGAAGGTCTAGCAGCGCAATCGTATGGCATCAACACCGCGGCGCTGGCTGGCTGCCCGCCTGCAGTGGTTGCGCGGGCTACTGAACTACTTCATGAGCTCACAGACGACAGTGATCAAGATGCCACTGAGACTGACGATGCCCAAGTTCTACTTCGGCGTGCTCAGGCCGTGCTGAATTCCCTAAGCTCGACTCAGGCGCAACTGGTGGCAGGTGACGATGAAGCTGCCAGTGGCCCGATTGATGCTCATCAAGTGTTAGACGAGCTTCGACAGATCCTGAACGGCAACCGCGCTTAAAAGTTGACAGCTTAAGACCACTGCCTCGTCCCGTCCATCGGCGTTTCCCAGCTTCCTCGTGGCCACTAACGGCCTTACAAGCGATTTTGAAGCGGAGCAGAGCGAAGATGGTGCTGCCCCTCGACACGCCGTTGATCATGCAATCTGCATCCATCAATGGCTGCAACGACCTGTACCCGACCAAGTCCCCCGTGTTTCTCCGTGACGATGACTTCAAGGCCAAGGTGGTGGTGTTACAGAGTGTCGCGGAGGGTGTAGTCGTCATTCGTTCAGCTAGCGACGGAGATGAGCTGATCGTTGGTGCCAACGGCGGCTGCTACTTCGAGTCTTGCGTGCTTGGTATCGGAGAGGAGTTCAAGGTTGAGGCTATCGCGAATGGGTCGGTGGTGTTCGTATCGTGCCGAACAGGTCACGTGCTCGACACCGACGACACGGGCTTTCCCCGTTGCGTAGATACCATTCGCCGCGGATGGTTCCTACTGCAGCACGAATTCGCCCACAAGGTCAGCGAGAACCCGGTCGTGGAAGCTGCGCCAGCCATGGGACCGGACTGTGGACACTGCAGAGATTACGAGGCCATGGAGCGTCGGGAGTACATTATGAAGCTGGTTTCGCTGGGCAAGTCGCTGGAGGAAGTCGATGCGATTCTGCTGCGGATGTACGCGTGGCCAACCGCTGAAAAGGTCATCGTTGCGGGGGGAGGGGGCGCTGTGGCGACGGAAAAGCAAGTCCCTCCTCCTAAAACAAATCCTGCTGCGTGGCAATGGATGAAATCGGAGTGAATGAAGAAGCACAGGCGGTGGCGGCTCGGAGTTGGCGGGTGAAGCGGAAAAGGTAGCTAAATTTCTTGTGAAAAATACTTTAGTCTCAGTGTTCATTTGCTTCGCTGTTTGAGTATCAGGACCCGAGGCGTCTGACGAATGCAACTTTGTAGCTGTTTCAACGACTCATTTTTTACTTAGTAAAATTACTGCAGACTGAAAGATACAAACCCCAGAATTTCTTAGACGAAGATGGCGAAGAAAGGTAAGGAGAAGGCCCCCGCCAAGAAGATTCCGACGTCAAGCCGCAGCTTCGACACCTTTCCCATCGGTGGCAAATAAAGTTGAGACCAAGCAAGAAACGCCCTGAGACCCCGTTGCGAGTCAACCCTCCCCGAAGTGTTCTCAACGCAATTGCAGCCACGGGCGTGGAGCTCGAGAAGATTCGGGGCGAAGGGCAGATCACCATTCGCCTTGGCGGCGTGACAGCACCTGCTTGGCAAATTCACCTCGACTGGGCCTGTACGCGAGCCAAGGCACCGCCGCTGGTCGACTTCTTCTTCGGCCCAGTGGCGACGCACTACAGGACGGTGCTGGCCACGCCGGACGAGCTCGTCGGCGATATTCAAGTGGAGATCGAGAGCCTCCTGAGCTACATCCAACTGCTTCGCACTTCCGACTCGTGAACGGGGCTCCACCTGTGCTGCCTGCCCCAGGACTCGGACGACGATGCGCTGTTTCCGCAGGCAGCACACTCTGGTCGACGCCATCGCGAACCCAGGGCCGCTGTACCGCACAATCCACGGTCTTTGCGACGGCAGCTACATCTGCCACATCATTTATTGCCGTTGATACAGCCCATGTTTTCTAAACGAGTTAGGGTAGTCAATATACTGAAAACAAGTAAGAAATTCCAAACATGGTCAAACATGGCGCACCCAGCGTTGAGCAGGGAATACCAGGAGCAGCCACGGCACTGGGGTGAAATTTGCAGGCTCTTCGTGTCTCTCAAATGCCACTGGTGTCCATTTTGCTCAGACACTCCCGATTGATTTGAGTCAATTTCACCCCCTCCAACCGAAAACATGGGCGCTATCTTTTCCGATCATTTATTACTGCCAGTAATTTACTGGAAGTCGGTGCTCGTCTTCCTCCCGATATTCCGATCCACGTCGTACTGGGATCGGAAAATAAAAATTGATATTGTAAAATTGTAATATTGTTGGGCATCAATATTGTATTGTAGCGATGTCATCAATATCCACTATTTATTGTCAATATTGTTCAGGAAGAAAAACTGGCCCTACCTTCTCTTACGATATTAAAGAGCACCATAAGCTAGTTTTCCTCTCCTTTTTCCGCCTATTGAATACTTCTGATAGCCTTAATAGCACTTCGCTGGTCATCAGACTCCAATCTATCGTCAGTACTTAATCGAGTCTCAGTTTTTTTTTCATGTTTCGCGTCGAGGGGTCGATGGCGCTGAACAACCGAATTAAGTATACGTAGACTTGCTCTCTTACCGAGCTATGGTTTTCTCCATGAGAGTAGCCTTGAGGTCCGCAGGGCTGCACTTCTGTTTTCTTTACAGCCACGTAATGACACCAACGTGTATACGTAATAAATTTGAGCAGATACTGCGACTACGTGCGAAAAGGCTTCGTATGCGTAGGAGGGGAGACACTTAGACCTCAGAGCTGCAGCGTTACTGCGGTACCTACGCCGGTGATAATAACATGGCTTGTGCCCTTGGCAACAGACGTCATGAAAGAGGGAGAGGTACCCCAACCGAGTCTCCAACATTGCTCGCCGATGCTTCTGTCTGGTCACTTTCGCTTTAGACGTTAGGAAGACCGTCAATCATGTTCGGACACGTACAGTTAGGGGTAAAGACTCGCTAACCATTGGGGATAAGTGCCATGACGATTCATGCTAACATTACTCAACGTACTCATTTACTCTAGTACAGTACAATATATCGCCATACTAAAGGCAAGTATGGCAATATATCCCTTCTAACCCCAACTCTTATTCTGTATCCTACAGAATAAGCATTAAACTTGATTAAAGTATACTTCAAAACCTGTCAAAGATTTGCTGTTGGAAGCCCTTTCGCATCCTGAGGTCAAGACCGGTACGTATTGGTGGACAAAACAGCTACGAAGTGGGACATAACATCCTCAATGTATCCAACATGTGCCAGAATAGCGATCTTCTATTGGCTATGGCGAGCGTAGAGCACGCACAATACCTGTTAGCGATAAATACCCTCCAATGTTGCTAAATTTGTCACCTTTGGCGCAGACCACCAATCTTGGTAGGAAGAGCACGTGACAGCTCTCACGGCGAGAGAGCGCGGAGGAAGAAATCGCCCAGTTCCTAACTAACGGATTAGTGAGGAGGTACGGGGCGATTTCTCCTTGACGTCCATCATGCAACCCAGTTACAAGATACGTAAAGCTCACGACTAACCTTGTTACCTCACTCTTGAGCCTCTTCCTCCTGTTCTCGCTTACGCTTACGGAATCTAATCTTCTTTCTCAGGCTCGCTGGAATGCTCTTGCCATCACCCCACGTGTCGTGCCAGATCTGAGCGCAGGTCAGTGTGTTCCCGCTCTCCCCCCGTCGTACTTGACGACAAAGCGGTACGCGGCTTCCGAATGCATCGCTGCACTGCGGACAGAAGTAGCTGGTCTCTAACGACTTCGTCTTTGAGTCAGCAAATGCAGAGCACACTTTGCACAGGTACTGTTGGTGTTTGTACTGCTTCGCAGTGGAGTAGAAGCTGTCCGTGTTCGCTAACGTGTGGTCTTGACGTGGGATTGGTACAGACACTAGGTCCTCTGCGTTGGGGTGGGTCTCGAAGTTGATCGTCCGCAGCGCCAAAAGCTGCGTGTGCAAGCGGCGCAAGTACTCAGCATGGGTAGGTGGCTTTTCTCCTCTTTTCTTGAGCACCCAGCAATGCACGATGTATCCATTGACGACAGCCATGTCGACGAGGCACAGAAATAACTGCTTGTAGTACTTGCGCAGGGATACGCACCGCTGGATACTGTAACGCTGAAGTCGTAGCTGGTCGTGGACATCGACACCTCCCATGCCAAGGCCGTAGTCCACGACCAGCTGCGGACAAGGCACCGTGCAGCGCGTTCCATCTTTCTCCGTCCTCAGCACGCTAGTCACGTGGGTGCTGCAGCATGTTCACCGGCTTAGAGTCCATCCAGCTCAGTGCAACCAGTTCAGGATAATCGTGAGCTCGTGCAATACGGTAGGTACCTCTTGGCATCCGCTGCGGGCGTTTGCTTTGCGTGAAATGGATCGGGCACCAGCCCAAGCGATCGATTCTCGTGGTGCCAACGTGATACAAGCCCATGCGGAGCAGCTTCAAGCTCAGCGACACTGTGGAGTAGAAACTATCCGTCACAATCAAGCGCTTCATTGGCTGGTTGATCAGCGCTTTCGTGATGTTCCTCACGACAGCCTTTGGTCCCAGCCCCAATGTTTCTGTGGGCGCCTTCTTCTTTTTCTTCTTTGTCTAGTCTGCACCGCAGTAAATCTCAACTCTGTATGCATACAGAATACCATAGATACAGATTAGTTTATTCTGTAGGATCCGGATTACATGTAGTGGAATACAGAACAGGAAAACTCACCTAGAACAGTATGCGGTTTCAGGACAGCACGTCATGTAGAACTTCGTGCCGTACTTGCTAGGCTTGTCCGGCATGAAAATGCGCATGGGGTTGAACTTGCTGCGATTCGGCATCATTCCTTCGTCGAACGAGATGACCTTCCCCAGCCGATATCCACGACGAAACGTTTTCTGGACTGCTTGCAGCACCGGTCGAATTTTCCATGCCTTGTCAGCGTGGGCCCCGGCGTCCTCATTGTTGTTGAAGTGCAGGAACTTCATAATGTCTTCGAAGCGGCGGCGTTTCATGAAGCGTGAGAAGGTTCCGCGCGGAATAGCCCCATCCTCATCAGTACACCAGTGGTGAGCTAGGCCATCCCGAATTGGCGCCACAGCCCTAGCAAAGAGCAGCGCTACGACGTGCACGATCTCATGCGCTTGAATGGGCTTGAACTTGTTCAAGTCTGCTTCAATATCCTCCACGTTAGGCACACTCACGCGCGGATCCTTGGCCTGTCGGGCTTGCAACTTCTCTCGGCGAGAGATTGTCATTGCCGGGATATTCTGCAGTCGGTAGAGCTCTGTCTCTTCAGCTATACGAACCCAGAGTTCCTTGGGCGGAAAGTAGAAGAACATGCCCAACTGGGAATCCGCGTAGGCGATAGCAGAGCGGGTGGGGCCATATTTCCCGTCGTAATAGTTCGTTGCGGCGTCGACTTGGAGATTTCTTGACTCATCATAAAGATGGATAATACAGAATTAGCACAACAGTACATCCACACATTCTGTACCATCCGGCTTACCACTGTGCTCCTCATCGTAGGTTACCCAACCACTTTCCGCAATGGTCCGAAGATCGTCATCAGTCAAATCAAACGTCCTAGTGTCGAGATCACCTTCATTCATTTCCACGTCGTCTACGTCTTCTACACCTTCTGGAGCTATGGCGTTGTCGGTCATAACATCCTCATCATCCGCACTCGCAGTCGCTCAAATCAGCCGTCGCTACAACGTTCACGTCATCTTCAGCAGTGTCGTTCCTTGCGCTGCCCTTCCATGAAGTTGTCGCTGTCAAACACGTCCAGATCGATGAAGTCTTTGTACTGGTTGGGGGGATTGTCGGTCTCACTCCTGGCTTTTTCATCGTCGAACGGCCTCGATCTGGCTTCAGTAGGATCTGGAATAGCGTCGTGGGTCGCACCACCTTGCTCTGTAGCATCCGGAATAGCGTCGTGGGTCGCACCACCTTGCTCGGTAGCATCCGGAGTAACGCCTTGTGCTGACGCCGTGTGATCGGTCACATCCAGAGTAGTAGCTTCCGCCCTACCAGCTTAGTCTGTAGAGTCCTCAGTAGCACCATCAACTTGCTCAGTATCCGCAGGAGAAGCTGAACGACGCACTGCATCCGATTGGTTGGCATTAGCGGCCAAACGATACCGCATGTCGGCTTGATCAGTAGCATCCGGAATAGCACCACCCACTCCATCACCCTGTTCTGTAGCATCCGTATTGGGGCCATCCACAGTCGATGGAGTCGCCATTGGTGTACATGCCGGGGCCAGCGAGACATGCGCAGTTGGAACAGCAGTGGTGGCTCGTGGAGTCGCAGCAGCAATCGAGGCTGCATCCATGTCCGTGCTCGTACTTCCAGCGGCTGGTTTAGGCGTCGGGGCAGCTGGCGATGGTGCTGGCTGACTTATAGCGGCGTACGACGCTTACTTCCCAGCCGGGACCCGGGTCGACTTTCGAGTGCTGGGCACAGCGGTAGCGGAGAGATCAAGCTGACCAGATCGTCGTGCAAACGCCATGAGAGCCTCCTCACCTGGAGAAATACATCTATCGTTAGCATACACGTAATTATATACAAAACTTATGGTTACCCACCCTCAAAGAAGTCGATTCCACGTTTTGCTCCGTCGAGACGACCCTTGATCCCTGGTTTCACATAGCGGTGATCCTTCGCCACACCGGTACGCTTGCGTGCCTTCCAGCCTTCCTTGCATATCTCACGCCACAGCTGCTTGAACGTCTTTTCTCCGGGGCCGTTCATCGTTTCCGAAATGAGGGGGACAGTGGATGGCGGACACGCGGCAGATATTGGCTTTTGTACGAATTTTCAAACCTTTAAGGGATTTATAT